TGCTGCTTTGCTCAAGTCTAAATGCTCTTCTTCCCTGTGAATTCACACCCTCTTTTACTTGAAGAGCTCGGCTCAACCACCACTGCCTTCTGGCTCACAATTACCATCTTTTCTTTAGATACCCATAGTGCTGTTCTCTAGCTTCTCGCAATATGTCAGTGCTTTCTTCGTGATTAAGAGTGCCTCCCGTTGTCACCCTTGCTCTGTCGCCAGTTAGTCAGGTGACTTTGGACAAGTCCAGTTGCCCTCTGGGCCTCTGTTCATATCTGTAAAACAAGGATGTTGGAGTAGATGATCCAAGGTCTCTGGCACGTTGCAGATGTCTCTCCTTTTAGAAGGCAGTCTTCATACAGGGAGAAAAGATATAGTAGAGTAGGTGCTTTGTAGTTCAAGAGACCGATGTTTAATTCCTGGCTCCCTGGTTGTGTGAACTTGGGCAAATTTCTTTACCTCGCTGAGGCTCCATTTCCCCAGTGATAAAGCAAGGTTGACTAAAAGCATCTATCGCACAGAAATGTGAGAATTTGAGAGGGAGTGACTCTAACTTGGTGCAGGGCTTGCAGCAGACACCTTGTTATGATTGATTTCCCCTTCAGTTGTCAAAAAAGCTTCATGTTATTTCTGAAAGAGCCAGTCACTTTTGTTCTAAAGACCAGTGGCTGCTGTGGGGAAAGCTGGTTTTCTAATTGCTCATTACCGAGTGCTGGTATCCGGTGAACACCCTCGTTAAAACTACAGGGCACATGAACTCAGACTGGGATGTAGAGACATTTTATATACTAATTCAACACTAGAAGAAAATATTTTACATAAGTTTTTGTGATTTTTTTACAAAAATGAGGTAACAGTAACCAGGTAAAGGACCCTCATTTTTAAGAAGCTTAATTTTACTCTGCCTCTTATAGGCAAATGCCTTTGCCCTAACATAGCAAATCCTCTTCCCATTCCTGTCCAAATACCAAAGTATCCTAGAGTATCATTAAATAGCTCATTGGTTTATAAGAGAAAAGGGCGAGGGATTAAAAAATAAATTTAAATGTATCTATGTTAGAGTAAAGGTAGTGCTAAATTGAAAATATCAATGTGATAGTTTAAAGATTACAACGTGAATGTGTAATCTTTGAAAAATTACATATATATGTATAGATAGCTTTCCTAGATCTTCTTACATATATTTCAGTAAAGTTTAATTTCCTTCTTATAAATCTTTTACATCTTTTATTAGAGTTATTCCATGATTATTATATGATTATTATATTCGTTATCTGTTGCTATATATTTAAGCCAAAAGTTAGTGGCTTAACACAACAATCACCATTTATTATTTCATAGTTTCAGGAATTTAGGAAGATAATTCTGACTCAGGGACTTATGAGGTTGCATCTATTATGTCAGCCAGGGCGCAGTCATCTGAAGGCTCTACTGGGGGTGGACGATCTGATTCCACAATGGCTCACTCATGTGACTGACAGGTCAGTGCTAGCTGTTGGCAGGAAGCCTCAGTTCTTCACAGCTCGGATCTCTCCAGAAGGCTATGTATGAAGTGTCTATCATCTCAACTTGGTGTCTGGCTTCCCCCAGCACAAGTGATCCAAGAGAGCAAGGCAGGAGCCATAGCATCTTTTATGACGTAGCCTCAGAAGTCACACTGCATCTGCAGCTTCCTAATGGTTATGCACAAGGGGCATGAATTCCAGGAGACAAGAGTCTCCATCTTAGAGATTAGCTACTACATATGCTATTTTAAGTAATTTCTTTTTATTTCATTTTCTTGCCATTGCTGTTGCAACCAATTTTTTGTTGCTCTCTGTTGCAGTCAGTGTTTGTATCCAGCAACTTTGCTAATGCTTATTATTATACTGATTTATCTGGGAATTCTTTTGGAATTTTTAAAAAATAGATAATCTTTTACAAATAGTATTTCCTTTCCAATCCCCCATTCCTTCTATTTCTTGGCTTACTAGAAATTGGCTAGAACTGGCACTATCACTGTCATGTGCAAATAATAGCTTTGGTTTTTGCTTTTGAATCCCTTTTCCTTCTATTTCTTGTCTTGCTGTCTAGAACCTCTGTATAACATTGGATAAAAGCAGTGATAATAAGTACCTTTGTCTTATTCCTGATTTTAAGGACATATATTTGCTGTAGGTTTTTATAGATACCATTTATGAATTTAAATACCTTTCCTTGTCCTAGTTTGTAAAGGTTTTCAATTATTCAATGGATGTTGAATTCTAACAAATGCTATTTTACATATATTTTCCTCCTATTTATATTACTTAACACCTTTAATACGTTAATGAAGTGAGTTCCATTCGTTTTTTGGCTTTGGAGTTTTTAATGTTAAAGCAGCTTTTAACATTATATTCCCGAGTGCCAGCAGCCACGTACTACAGTTAAGGCCCAGGGAGAACAGCACACGAGGACTCAGGGTTCTGCTTTAAGCTGTGATTCCCTTTACTAGGCCAGGTCCCAGCCAGGTGAAGCAGCTTCTTGGCAGACTGCACGATCCCCTATTTTGTATGTTCCAGTATGGCCACTGTGTCTAAACTGATGGTACGATTTGTGGGGACAGTGAAGGGTAGGGTGTGTAATGATGAGCCTGCACGTTGTGGGCACACATAACAGTTCCTAACTTCTAGATCAGCTCATGAATTGTGTATGTGAGAGAAAGGAAGGAAGCATACACAGTCCAGGCCACAGCCGACATGGATGTGCCACACCAAGAAGGCCCCAGTGGGCTGGTGAGGAGTCCACACTCGCTTCCTTCGCTGCTCCAGACTAAGACTTCCATGAAGCTGGGTGTTAGAAGCAAAGGACTGGCCTCCAAAGGCCTGTGGTACCCAGGCGAAGATGGGAGGTTCTGCCTCAAGTGGCTCATCCAAGTGGACTTCATAACCACAGTTTACATGGGGAGCAGCTCTCAAGTCTCTGAAACAAAGCTTTCAATTTCTTGTACCCAAGGGGCCAGCTCCCTTGAAAGGAGGTAGCCAACATGGCTGATAGGTGTCTTGGGGGGAATTTAGTAATTCCACCTCTGTCTTTATCCCGTTTGAACCTGTCACCTTGATGATTTCACTGCTGATGACATTTCTTAAGATAAGATTCATTTTTGTGCCTCAACCTAATAAGACATTCGGGTCTAGGTTTTCTCCTTGCCAAGCACAGGTGACAATGGGGGCTCTGTCACATTCAGAACTAAATACCATATGAAGCCTGGTGTCTTTGATAGGGATCTGGTGCATCACAGACACTTAATAAATCCTCTTTGTTTTTTTCCAAACAGATCTCGAATCAGCAAAGTGGAACTCTTTAGATCATTCCAGAAACTGCTAAGCAGTATTTCAGAGGACAAGTGGCCCGACTCCCTCAGGTGACACTGTTGACCCATATTATTTCATATTTAGCAAGACTTCCAGTGTAACTTTGGCTTATGAATGGCAGGAGTTCAGTCGGCCAGTAGGCACTTACTGCTGTTAACCTCATGCTCTTCCATCCCCACAGCCCTGCTTGCAGGATACATGTATGATCTGTATCAAACATGTATGATACAGTTTGATGGCACAGAATCCCAAGAGACCAAGCGTAGAACCGGGTCTCGGCCCATTCCAGGCCCTCCTTTCATTCCAGCCTGGACTGAGAGTGCCGTGGAGATGCGAGTGCTTGCAGAGCACTATATTCTGTTAGGCTCTTCATTCCCTTCTCTTTCTCTTTCGTTCACATCAGTGGTTGTGAACTGCAGCTCCCTGACTCAAATCTCTCTCCAAACAAGAATGTAGAGAACTATAAAACCACCTCAGGGGCAGGTGGGTGGGTTCAGTTGACACTAACTACCCAGAGTTAGGCCAGACTTCACAAAGTAAGGGCACAGTCCCCACAAACTGCCCTCACTTCAGATGCCAGCAACAAGCTTGGGGGCCCCCCTAGCCACTCACATTTCTGATCAACTGACTACAAACTCGGGGGGTTCCCACTACCCCCTCACGTTTCATATTTCATTAGAACAACTGAGAATTTGGGAAAGCACTGTAATTAAAATTACTCTTTACTGTAAAGGTACAAGTCAGGACCAGCTAAAGGAAGGGACACATGGGGTGAGGTCTGGGAAGGTCCCAAACACGGTGCCTTTGTGATCTCCGGATGCATCACCCTCTCAGCGTCACTGTGTATCAGCAACCAGGGAGCTGACCTGCACTTCAGGGTCCAGAGTTTTTATTGGGATTTTATTAATTAGCAGGACTGACTGAATCGCGGTTCACGTGATGTAATTGAACTCAGTCTTCATCTCCTCCTCCACCCTAGCAGGTCAGACTGATACCAGGTGGCTCAGTGCTCCAGCTCTCTAACCTCATGGCTGATCTTTCTGGCATGGCCAGCCCAGTTATTAAACTCTCCAGGGCCCACCATGAGTCACCTGGTTAAATATAAACTCAGGTGTGATCTGAGGGGCCCACCATGAAAACAAAGACATTCCTATCACTTGGGTAATTCTAAGGGTTTAGAGGTTCCTGCGTAAGAACTGGCAACAAAGACCAGCCAATTCTTCACTATACAGTGGGAACGCAAAGGGGTAGCTAGAAACTTCTGTGAAGAGGCTAGCGACTGTTATCATCGCAATGCAGACTGTGGTCAGTCATCCATGGTCAGTCTGCATGTTTCTTGTCTGGGAAAATGAATCAAACTGGAGCTGGATGGGTTTCCATACATTCTGAGTGTTAAAAACAAATCTAGACTTAGGTAAGAGAGACTTTATTCAAAAGGATTATTGCAATAAAAGAAGTGGTCTGTTACACTGGGGGGAGGAGGATTAATGCAATAGCAAGGACATTCCAATCATAAGCTCTGTCAGCCTCTCGAAGGGCAGGTGGAAAGGAGCTTCTTTTGTATGGAGGGTAAAGAAGGCTTGACAGAATGGGGAGCGGGATGAGCAGGTGGTGTGATGGGACAGTTGAACAGGAAGTGCCTTTTCTTGCGGTCAGTTGATTCTCAGGAGGGGCTGTTAAGGGGTTGTTACACATTCTGATACTGACTCAGGCTAAGGGTGGGTCAAAGTTCAAGGGTCTGGGATAATGAGAGAAATATAACTAATATTTGGTTAAGTTAGCAGGTATTTTGTCGAGATCGATCATTGGATTTGGTTAATCATTATGAGACAAAGAATGGGAATTTGGAGCATCTATGTTTGGCCTTGTCATACATAAACCAGGCCTGGGGTGGCGGGGGACGAGGCAGAGGGGTTCACATCCATGAGTCTTATCTAAGTCATGGGGAAGGGCAGTGCTTTGCGGTCAGCCATTTCTCAGAACACAGAAGGGTGGGAGGGAGATTTCTTAGCCATGCCTTTTTTTAGGAACAGGACTCAGGTAAAGTTTAACATGGTCATGTGTGTACATCCCACCCATTAACCATCAAAAAGCGGTAGGAAATTGATCAAACAACTGAAATCAGTTTTTACCACAACCAGCAACTTTACTGTGCTGAAGTGAACTAAGAAACAACTCAGAAGCAGGATAAAATTGGATCAATAAGACACTCGTCTCAGATTCTTCAGCTATAAGATACAAGGACAAAGCTCAAGGTCCAAGTCGAGAAGAGGGCTTGGAGGAGCCTGACTGAAGTTTGCTCAAAGGAGAGAGTCTTTGCCACAAGAAAAATCTTCTAACTGGGTATAAATATTACCAATATTACTCAACATGTCAGCCATTTTTTAGATGTCAGACAGGCTAAGGGATAGGGAAGGGGTGTTGCTGGAGACTATGGATAAAATGGAAAGTGTTTTGGTTTATTAGGGAAGGATGCAGACAAGTAGTTTCTAATGGCTGTATCCTCTGGCGGATATTATAGACACTTAGAAAACTTGAAACCAAAAAGTAGATACAGTTACTCTTGTTTTATCTGATTTCATGAATCAGACAAAACTAGCATTCTGTTGATTTCTACCTGTTTTAATCCATGTTACTTTCTACTGAATTCCCTAAAAAGGAGACAGGCACTCTAGGAAAGCTTACCGAAATCCTCCTGTTCCTAAGTCTCTTGTAATCTGTCCAGTTGATTGCTCAGGCGCCTTGTCGGACCCGATGGTGAGCTGTTCAGTAAGAACCTGTGTACTTGGTGGTGTGTGTGCATTAGGGTGCGGAAGCTAGAGACGTACCAGGAGTTCAAAGAGGCCGCATCTGCTTACCAGGAAGCCTGGAATGTGCTCCAGAAACAGGCATTTGCATCCTGGATCAGAAACCCCCCAGATTATCACCAGTTTAAATGAGAAGGGAAAGTTCGCAGAGGACTTACCGGTAACAAGGTGAGTTGCAGCCCTTCATGCTGGACTGATTTCTTCCTTTATGCTGAACAAGTCTTAGCTTTTCTTGTGACTGAGTCAGGACAAAAAGTCTGCCATCTACCAGAGCAACATATCTCTTTCGTGTAAGATGGATGGAATTCCAGAACATGGAACAACCTATACTTGATTGAAGTAGCTCTCTGCTGAAATGGCATCTCACTAATGACTTTGGTATCTGTCCTAACTTGTGTTTTATTGCTTCTCTAAAATACGGAATTAGAATCTGAAATGTGATGCTTTAAAAGTACTCTACAGTTGCTTTGTTTCATGTGTTCCTACATTGATTTGGTAAGTATTTATTGGGCTGGGATGATGTTTGAACCTGTGCAAGTCTAGAGCTTCACCTGGCATAGTGGACATATATTTGTATACCCAGCCTTTCTTCCTTCAGAGAGCCACCCTTTCCTGCGCTATCTATGGAACTTAGTAGAAGCAAACTTTACTCCCTGGCTCCAGGAATGCAAGCCAGCCCTGGACAGTCGTAGACCTATTACCAGAGCGATCAGGAAAGATTCTCCTCTTGTATCATAAACCGCAAGGGCCACATAATCTTGGGACCTTGCCTACCACATGGATGCAGCTCGCTTGAAAATGAAGACAACACGGAAAGGAACAGCCAAGAGAATCAGAGCTTCAGCCATCAACCTTGTTTGGATGTCTGAAGCTAGTACCCACCATGGACTTCGGTTATGTGAGATAAATTCCTGTTGTTTTGAGAAGCCTGTTCGAGATAGTTTTCTGTGACTTTCAATGGAAGTTTAAAAGGCCACAAATCCCTATAGCAAATCAGCAACAGAGCCAGCAACCAATCCTGTTTTAACTAATGTCTAATATTTAACTCCACCTCTTCCCACCTTAAATTGTTGACTAAAAATGGAAGCTCTCCATGTTGGGGTTACTCAGAGTCTTTAGTTCTTCGGCATTTCTTCAGCACTTTAAATTGTTTTTAATAAGAGCTTTATTGAGCTATAATTCACACAGTAAAAAAAAAAAAAAAAAGGTACATTCGGAAAGGTCCCCATCTCGTCCATCCTCGCCCCGTTCTCTCTTTTCTTCCTCCCCCAGCAGTAACCATTCCTGTTAGTTGTTGGCGGACATTTCATTCTTTCCTTTGGAAATGCTGTTAATAACCTACATAAAATATTTTGTATTTTTCCAGCGTATCTTTTGGATAGAATTAGAAGTGGGATTTGCTGAGTCAAAGGGTAAATGAACATATAATTTTGCTTTATTTAACTATATCTTCAAAATTCTGTGTCTAAATATTAGTACCACAAAAAGGCAAAATGCAGGACAGCATTTTAACATTTCATTTCTATAAAAGAACAATGAAAGGTATATATTTGTGTTTTGCTTGTATGTGCTAAACTATCTCTGAATAGATAAACAGATACCAAGAAACCACTAACGCTGCCTATGAGGAGAGAAAGGGAATGGCTGGGGCCCAGGCGTGAGGGGCAGACTTTACGCTGACGACCCTCTCTATTCTGTTATTTTTAAAAATTTTGGAACCATGTTAATATAGTACCTATTTTGAACACGTTTTGGAAATGGAAAAAGTTTCTCTGTTTTAAAAGGTAGAAACACCGGAAAATGCTCTGAAGTAACATCGTATAGGAAAGAGGGACTCACCACATGCTCGTGGCGGCTCTACTTACTATTCCACAGAACTCTCTCTTTACTAACAAAATGCCTTCTGAGAGTTTACACTTTCAGCATCGCTGCTGCTTCTGTTCACAAGTGGGCTCTCATGTTATGACTGTGTGCATCATTTTTCTTCTTTTTGTTTAAAATTTTTAAAACTTGGCCTGATTTAAATAATTTTGTGTGTAGATATTCCACGTAGTCACTTCTGCCTCAAAGCATGGGGTTAAATGCTTTGTTTTATGGAGTTTACGAGTGCCAAGCATTAGCTCACTGTCTGGGGAGATGAATCTGCTATGGAGAAAATGACCCAGCCTGCCTGCAAGCAGCGCCCTGGCTGGAAGAGAAGCAGGCCCTGTCTGATGCGGTCGTGTGTGTGGCTGGTGGAAAGCTGCCTGCACCTGGACCTTGGCAACATTCTTTGGCTTCAAGACAATGTTCTGAACAAGCCTTAGCCAAAGTTTTCCAGTTTCTAAACCCAGTTTCCAGTTTCTAAGTTACATTTTCAACTGCCACTATCCTCCTTTGATGTTGTCTGGGGAAGCCAGACGAGTAAAGAGAAGTCTACTGCAGCAGGAAGGTTATTAAATAGGAAACAGCTTCCAAGTAGATAGAGCATATGTGCTCACCTTCAAGGGCTCAAGTGGTTCTTTCCATAGAAGTAAAGGCAGCTATCCCGAAGGAGTGGTTCGATGCAGAAAGAGGCAAGAAGGCAGATGCTTTGGAGATAGCAACTTTATTTTCCAGAGAGTTCTTTTTATACTGCATATTGAGGAATCATGTTGGCCTCCATAGCCTATAAATGTGAATTCCTTTAAACCTAAATGTGTCTTTCCTGGGGCCAAGACTGCCTTCCTGGAAGGCTGTCCAGATGGGTCTAAAATGAATCTTAAGTAGTACTTGTGGTCCAAAAGGGGGAGGAAAATTCTGCAAAGAGACACTTCAGGGCTGCAGGCAAAGTGGCGTGAATTCAATTTTCATTTCTTAAAGCTGGGACCCCAAAACTAATCAAAGTGGATGAAACTCAGCAGTGGTTGTTGCCTGGTGGGGGAATACGGGTGAGGGAGGTTGTGTAGAAAATGGTCCTAGGGAACTTTATAGGATGGTGGAAACATTCTGTTTTGATTAGAGTTGATTATTACATGGGTATAAACATTTGTCGACATTTATTTAGCTCTGTGCATTTTACCGAACGTAATTATACCTCAATTTAAAAATGTGGGGGAAAAACCTTACTCTTTAGGTCTGGATATTCAAGTAATTATGTTCTAATACCAGCTCTGCCACTACTTATGTGGATGTGGGGAAAGTAATTTAATCTCTGACTTCTAACCTTTCACTTGTTCTACAAAGCGAGCTCCCAGCATAGGATGCTCAGTTTTTCAACTGCGAGGTAGGATTTCTCATAAAAATTCTTCATGGGGTAGACAATGCAAAGAGAATTTTTCTCCAGGAAACCGAGCCCATTGACACTTTGAGATGTATATGGCCTCAGTCATGTTGGTAACAAGGGAGGGATGGAAATAATTCTTGTCGTAGTCAAATAACTTGGGTTCTGTATTTAGGTATGGGGTTTTTTATCCCTCATCCCGATAAGCCAGCAGGGTTAAGAACTTTTAGAACTAAGCGTGTTCAGCCCTGCTTTTCAATCTCCAAATGCAGGAAAGTGTCTTGATTGAGAAAAGGCACCAGCAGAAAGTCACTCCAAGCGGGGAGCCAAGCTGCCAAATGTTAGTCTCAAGCACATGCTCCTTGAACTTGGGCATGGCTCCAGAGGGAGGAGAGCTCACAATGGAAACAGTGATGGCTGTTTGCTCAGGCAGCCGAGAGAATGAAAAGCACATTGAAACCTGCAGTGTCTCCATGGGGAGAGGCACGGTGGGCCCCATGGTGGTGAAACCAGCCTGACAACAGCAGGATAACGGAGCCCATTTCCAGCATCTTTCTTCATCTCAACAACAAGACCTTTATGTGCAACCTCTCAGGAGATCTCTGAGAAATTGTACTGAGGGCAACCCGAGCTTTGCCCAAGAATAGATGTACACAGTCTAGTTCAGTCATTTTCGTTGAATTAGATTCTGATAATCGAGAAAAAGAAAGAGCTCTTCTCAATGTATATATTCCACTGCCCACCCAGGATTTCATCAATTTCTTTTTCTGTTGTTGGCACTTGTGAACTGTGCTGGCCTCCAGTGAGTGCCTTTTTCAGCGGGTATTTTCATGCTGTACTTTTTCCCCTCATTTATCCAGTGCCATCGTGAATTCTCTTCTATCCTAGCACAGCAGTACCTGCTGGGCTGAGAAAGAAGGCCTCGGGGGCAGCACAGTCCCCACCAGCTCCGGACAAGTGTTCACTCACCTGTGCTGATGCAGGCGGACCGTGCAGCCCGGCTCTATACCTCTTTCGTGAAAGATGAGGGCTAATGTGGGTTAATATTTGCTTGCATATAATTTAAAGGAATTCTGCTCTAAAATAAAGGATGGCACATAAACTCTGTGGTACAAAGGTTACAAACCCAAATATTTCCAGGAGGGAAACTTAAAAGAGATAGCGTGAACTGAGAAATGTATTCCTTATCCAGTGAAGAACATTATTTTGTTCCAGCTGACTGTTGTCAGAACTTCTGAATTTTTTCAGAAGCAAGAAAATTGGATCATTTTGTGTATGTCTAGGGGCCGAATAGACCTTCCTTTCGGAATCTCCGGTCTAGCAGGACAAGGATGGCTTTAGGCTGTAGATCTGAGTTTGAACTGTGGCTCCAGGATGTACTGGTTGTGTGATCTTAGGGAGATATTCTCAGAGTGTCAGTATCCTCACCTTTGAAATGAGGGCAACACCACCCCCTGGCAATGGTGTCATGGGGATGAGATGAGATAATTACCACATAGGTAGGAGAAGGGCTGCCTACCACATGTACAGTGCCTGGCACATAGGAAACACCAGCCTCGGTCTGCCACTTCAGCTCATAAGTGACTCTTTACAATTTTGCTAGTCTCGATTTCCAGCGCTTTAGCTAGTAAACGTGACAGATTGTCCTTGGGAGAAGCCTATCGGGCAAATGTCTGCAGAGCCTCTTGCTGCGCACCAGGCATTTGTAGGTTCATTTGATGCACCTCTCCGCCCCACGTCTGGAAGCAGCAGCCTATCTTCAGAAGCTAAGGAGGCAGGGAAGCAAAGCTGTTGATCACAGAAGTATATATAGATCCTCCTACCTAACTCATGGCTTTGCCGCCCTAAAGTCAACCACCAGGATCTCTTTCTCCCTGAGAAAATAAAGATGAAAAGGAGAACCAATTGCGATTTTTAAAGTGTTCTACCATTCAGTCTAATATAGATTAAGTCTTTTGAGAATAAGAACATTTATATATCCTCAGACTGGTACCCTAGTGCACACACCTTCCACGTGCCTTCCATGTGGCCACGGTGTTTCAGCCACTGCTGCAGAACTGAGATGTGTTAGCACTCGTTAAGTAGGCTCTCAGCTCCGGGGGGACCCTCAGATATCCAGTCAGATACCGTCTAAACACCATCACTATGCCAGGTTTTGTGCTGTGCACCTGAGAAAGAGGATGACTGATCGGAAAGGTGGGCCACGGCCTTCACAGCGGACTGGCGCAGTGTGACAGAGGCTGAATACCCGACCTGGAGGAGGGCGGGGCACAGGAAGATTTCTTGGGCCCAGGTACACTTGAGCACAGAGGCAAAGGGGAAGGATTAGGAGTTAGCAAGCAAAGGGAAATGGGGGTGTATGTGGGGACTGTTTTGAGAGAAAGATATTGGAGGCAGAGAATCCCTCCCATATGCAAAGACCAGAAATGAAAGCATGCCATGCTTGGCTGGACTGGCAGGGCATGGGAGGGACATGCCCTGCAAAGGAGAATAGTCTTATCCTGATGACTGAGGACTTGAGGGATTTGGGGAAATGGGTATTGGGATGGAAGTTGCATTTTAGAAAGAGCGCTCTCCTCTGTAGCAAGGGGGATGGATTGGCAGGGGCAGGGATGGTGGCAAGGAGACCACAGTGGGGGATTGCCGTAGTAATTAGAGAAACGATGAGGCCCACCCAGACAGCAGCGGTTTTCGGAGACATAGGAAGGGGACTGACTTGAGAAATACACAGAGGCTGGTGAGGCTGGCTGATTGCAGGTAGGGGATGAGGGAGTATTGAGAGGGCTCCCAGATTACTGTGTAGGCGACAGGATGGAATGCGGAGCCAAGTATTAGGAAAGGGGGTCCAGGAAGAGGAGCTGGTCTGGCGGGGGCAGGGCAGGAGATGCAGGCAGGGGACGATGAGCTGTTTCAGAATTTGGGATTTCTGTGATATCTTGGGATAAGGACCTAGAGTAGGCATTTGGAGGGACTGGTTTGGGGCTCAGGAGAGAAATGGGCTGGAGATAGAGATTTTAGAGTCATCTATTATAGGAGGTCTTTGACGACGGGGGTTAGGATAAGTCATCCAGAGAGAATGTGTTTAGAATGAGAAGAAAAGGGGACCCTGGACTGAATTCTGGGGAACACAGAGTTTGGGAGCAGGTAGAGAGGCACAGGAAGGAGTGTGACCAAGAGGCCAGAAGAAAATCGGGAGAAAACCAGTTTTAGGAGCTTTAAAGGAGAGAGTAATCTAAAGTGTAGACTATGCTAAAAGGATAAAATAAAGTGTAGAATATACTAAAAGAAAGAGAAACAAGGAAAGTAAGAACTAAGAACCTTGTAACCCCCACCCCTGCTCCCTTACAGGGGGACAAGGTTATTTTTGGTAACCTCAGCAAACAGCAGGGTCACAGAGTGGAAGCCAGGCTCTCCAGGGCTGAGGAGTGAAGGGAAGTGAGAGATGGGCCACATAATCTTGGGACCATTGTTCTCTTGGGTTGTTTGCCTTATTAATTGGAAAAATTCTTTATTCTGGATATTAACTTTTTTTATTTATATCTGTTACAAACATCTTCACCTAATCTCTGGCTTCTATTAATTTTGTTTACAGTACCTTTTTTTAAATAAAATCTTTATACTTTAAGATTTTTAATTTTAACGTATTTAAATTTATCAATCTTTTCCTTTATTGTTTGTATTTTTATGTCTTGTCTAAGAACTCCCTCTGTACTCCAAGGTTATAGGTGTTCTAATTTTTTCTAATTTTTTTTTAAGTTTTGCTTTTCCACATTTAGATCTTTTATTCACCTTGAATTTAATTTTAGGCAGGATGTAATATAGGAATCTTATTTTTTTCACACATATATATATAACCAATTACAGAATCATGGATTAACTAGTTCATCATTTCCCTTTGATTTTCATGCCATCACTGTTACATTTTAAACATGAGTCTGTTTCTGGATTTCTGTTGTGTTTCCTGGTTTATCTCTATGCCATATGGCACAGTCTTAATAACTGCTAAGATAAGTCTCCCCAGATTGTTTTTCTTTACACCTCTTGGTTATTCTTGGCCTTTTGCTCTTCTAGATGAATTTGAGCATCAATTGTCAGATTCCACAAAACAACAACAAAAAAACCCAATTGGGATTTTTATTGGATTGCGTTAAATTTATAGGTTAATCTGGGGACAATATGCATCTCTATAATATTGGGTGTTCTTATCCTTGAATATGGCATATTAGTATATCCTTTTATTTAGGTCTCTATGTTCTCCAATAAGGTTTTGTCATTTTCTCTATGAAGGTCTTGCATATCTTATATTTATTCCTATGTGCTTATTTTTTTTCTCCTATTGAGAATGAGACCTTTTTTCCTATTGCATTCTTCAATTGGTTGTAATTGGTATGTAGAAACATCAATATTTGTAACCAATCTAGTCTCCAGCAACCATCTGAACTTTTAATTTTTATAGATATTTTTGGATTTTTCTATGTGGACTATCACTGTCTGCATATTAATAGTTTAGTCTTTCTAATTTTTATGCTTCTCATTTACTTTTTCTTATTGTATTGATTTTATGCCAGGAGAATGTTGAGTAAAAGCTGTGCTAAACTTTTTTTTAAACAGCTTTATTGAGATAAAATTCACATACCATAAAGTTCAGACTTCCTTCTTTAGTTCCTGTTTTTAATGGGAATGCCTCTAAAATTTTACCATATTAAGTAACCAGTTGTTACAGTAGCATTTATATCTATTGACTGGTTCATCATTTCCTTGATTTGTCATGCGACCTGTCCGATTTCACATACACATCTATTTCATGGATTTGTCTATCCCAATGTCAGTACCACACTGCCTTATTTATCATAGCTTTATGTGATAATATACACATTTGCTATAGATTTTTTATGAATTCCCTTTGTCAAGTTAAAGTTCCATTCTCTTAATTTGCTAAGAGGTTTTTTAAAATGAATGGGTTTTGAGTAGTTTCAGGTGCTTTTTCATCTATGAGGTGATAATATATTCTCTTTTGATAATTGTGTATATTTTATTAATAGACATTAATGATGAACTATATAATCCATTGTTGGGCTAAGTTCTGCTTGGTCATGATAGTTTAAGTATATGGCTGAATTTTATTTACTAATATAACTTTTAAAAACCTTCACTCCGATGCTGCACTTTAAAGGCAAGACCGACAAATCCATTTTTATTAATTGATATTACAATTGGACTTTCTTCAGTTTTTATAGGTAATAATTACTCTCTGTTTTCCAATAATACTTTCTACTATAGCACTTAAAACATGGCTTTATAATTCTCTGTGTTGGTTTACTACCAGACCGTAAGCTCCTGCAGGATGGGGTAGCTTTATTCATATTTGTGCCTCAGCGTCCAACATAGTATAAGGCACACTGTAAATAGAAAAATCAAACATCACAAAATTATTTGACACTGCCAACTATGTCTTTCCTTTTAAATCTCAAGGTTGGTGTCTCGGTTCTGCCACTTGGTAGCAGTGTGGCTGTGGGAATTACACCACCTATCTTATGAGGGGTTTTTGAAGATTGTGATAATGTATGTAAATCATGGTACCCAGTGCATGCTCAATAAATGCTAACTATAAATTACTTAAAAAAAGAAAAGAAAAACAGTTGGCTTCAGTGATACTTGCCTTTTGATTTTCGTCTTCCCTATTCTCAGTTGCATTTATGGGTTTGTGGTTGTGAAACAAAGCAAAACCCCTTTGGAAAGCTATCCCTCCTCCATGTCTGTATAACCCTATTCCGTTCACATGGTTAAGGAGGGGTTCACCAGTCCTTCCCACCAGCCTCTGCCCCATGCAGCGGGCTGTTAACTCAGGCAAAGCCAGATTCCTCCCAGGGACTTCTGATAGTGTTCTCAGAAGCAATGCTCTTCCTTCTGCTGGAGCTGCTAAGCTGGTATGGTCATCTTTGTTATCACATGCCTGAGAATGAAGTTAACGCAGAGGGAAACAAAACAAAGAGATGGAAAGAGATTTGATATTCTCAGCTGATCTCTGGTTTGAGCTATACCTGAAGCCAGTGAACCATCTCTATTTGATAGTTGAAATAAGAAATTGCCTTTTTAGAGCTTGAGCCAGTTGGAGTTGGGTGTCTATCACTGCAAACAAGATTCCTTATAACACAGAACATGTTCCTTCTCATCACCTTGCTCACTCATAGGCCAGTTTATACCTGCTTCTCATTTGAAACTATCAGCAAAGAGGCCTACAGTTCTTATTGGGTCAAGTTTAGGAAAGATCGACAAGATGCTTATGACAAGAATGTTTCCTCTGGTCCCAATTGCGAATTTGACATCATTAAAGAGCTCTGACGAGTTGCTTATATAATTTGGTAAAGATGAAGCTAAAGATCTTTCTTCCCCAGTGGTATTTTGACAGTCATTTTAACTACATGTTCTTGGATCGCGGAGTGATACCTCATTTCTTTATTCTAATGATGTATGTAGGGCTCTAGCCTCCAACATAATCCAGCTGAGGAAGATTTAGGAAAGTAAGCTTTTCCTCTCAGATGCATTTGTGTGCTGGCAAGCCTACATATCTATACTAATTTATGAGAAATCATGAAACCAATGAGCCTGGAAAAATAAGTGACAATGATATATCCACACAGTGTAGTACTGTTTGCTGTAAAAATGAGTGAAAAGGCTATGGACTGATATGGAAAGCTCACCGGGATATACTTTTAAGTGAAAAAAGCAATATACATAAGTATATGTTTCGTGTAAGAAAAAGAAAATAAGGACATATATTCATATTGAATTGTACTTTCAAAAATAAAGGTTAAAAAGAAACAAGAAGCCAGTAAGAGCCGTTTCCCATAAGGCAGAGGGTTAGGGTAGTGAGAAGACGGTGGTGGGAGCTCTCAGTACCTTTTTGTAGAGGCTCAATGCCTGAACCAGGTGATCACACACAAACCCTCCTAACCCGGAAGACGCAGGAGCTACTTCTCTGACCCATCTAAAAGATGGTGAATAAAGGACATGGTCACATTGCAATGCCTTTGTAAGAGGAAGTTTTATTGTTAATTATTTACCTTAATAGTTTCAGAAAGAAGAACAGATTAGCTCAGTCCAACATGATTGGCAGTTGGCAAAATCTAGTGAAGCAAGTGTTCTGATTGCTAAGGATTTAATTTGGATGCTTTTAATACTTAGCCATCTAACACTTCAAACATAATCCAGAATAAATGCATCATCTCCCTCCCTTTCACTTTAATACCCCACCTACCTCACTTCAATAAGGAAATATCTTCATTAAATAGGATTCCCAGAGGAAAAGTTCTCTGGAGAGTATAGCCATGAGGACAGTGCACAAAAAGAAAAACTCAAAATAAAACTCTGTATGATAATTTACTAGTCTAAGGAAACAAAACCTTCCAATATATTAAGAAATCAATCCAGTTACAAATGCACTAATAGGTCTATGTGAAGAGGTGCTGGTATAGTAACTGAAAACAGCCGGCTATTTACAAGATACACAAGCAGGAACGGTGCAGCTAGCCCAGCGCTGGCCCTCAGAAGCCGAAGGTGTTCTCTCCACTGTAGGCCACATACAAGAATCCATCTTCATCTTTTTCTTTATCGTAAAGTTGTCCCATAGTTAGGCTTGAAAGAGAAAAAAACAAAACAAAACATTGAGAATTGGATTTAGTTAGAGTGTAGGTGCTGGAGGACGATGGCTTGAGGATAAGGAACTTGACTCCTTAAACTAGCTACTGTCTCCCACACTTTCGGTGGCAGGTGATGAAAAGAATTTCAGATCTCAGGAAATGCTACAATCCTGTTGTAAAGAAGATAAATGCAGCCACAAAAGACTAGAATCAAATCTCCATTCTTCTGCCCCAAGACAAGGCGGTCTGCACTCACCCTCACACAAAGGAAACCCTTAAGAGGCCAGCACTATCTAGCTCCTTGAGTGGGCTTGGATGGTTAGTAGGTTAGTCCATTCAGAATGCTTTCTGAATGAATGCCAAGGGCAAGGGGAAAAAAAAAACCTAAGCAAAATTAAATGCCCAACTGGCCCATCCCTGTGTGGATGGAGGACCAAGGTAAGGAAGAGTACATGGGGCTTTCTTTTCCTCTGGTTGGTTTATTGAAGATTTATAATTTGTACCTAACTAACATGTTAGTACAAGTGGGTTCATTCTTGTGGAAGCTCCTCCAGCGAAAAGAGTTCTTTTCCTCACACTGGTGCAAACAGCTCTCAGATTGTATCTGAGATCCAAGGAGGCCCTGCAAACCTCCTAAGAACCCTTCAGAAATAGATACTACTCAAACCAAACGTGTGGGTGGGAGCGTAAAACAGATTGCAGTAGGCGACCTAATCTAGTTCTCTGCCACGAAACCGAGCTGGACTGGCTCCAGAGTAAGACTAGTAACACTTGGAACCCTGGGCGAGCTCTGGCCACGTGACTGTACTATTAGAGATGAGCAGGAAGCAAAGACATGTGCTACACAGTGCGACCATGCACACCGTTAGGTCAACTGGAACCAGCAATAAGGCTGTGGTCTGAGGGCCAGTTCAAGACATTAGAGGTCACTAGCCTCAGGACAGGTCACAATATATGCCTACACACAGGAAGTGATAAAACAAGAGCCAATGGGGTAGATAAAGAGGGGTCCAGGACCTCAGGCTGGTGAAATAATGACTGCCCCACCGCTGCTGTGTCCTTGGTAGGCTATGTGAGACCTCCATGTAAACAGGGACACGCGACATTTATAAAGGGGAGATTTTTCCTTTCCTAGTCTTCCTGCCCATTTTCAAGCTCAGCCCATTTGGCTGTGTGGGTAGATGAGAATTATTAAGTAACAGTGTGGGGGTAGATGAGTATGAATACAAAATGGCCTGTCATCGGCATCTTGTACAATGAAACAGTGTTCCCTGTGAGGCTCTCTTAACCTGGAATTTGTAAAATAAGGACTCCCTGGAAGAGCACTGTCCACTAGAAAGTTCTGCTGTGATAGAAATGTCCTATACTTTTACTGCCCAATACAGTAGCCACTAGCTATATTCAGTACTTGAAATGTGACCCATCTGAACTGGGATGTGCTATAAGTGTAAGACACAAGATTTGAAAGGCTTAGTATGAAAAAATATAAAATAACCTCTATTCTGATTACATGTTGAAATGATGACATTTTGGATATATAGGATAAATATATTATTAAAATTAATTTCGTCTGTTTCTTTTTCTTTCTTAATGTGTCTACTAGAAAATTTAAAATTACAAATGTGACTCGCATGCCATTTCTATTGACAGCACTGCCCTGGAACATGTGAGGACTTGGGGAGCAGTGGGTAGGAGGAGGAACCTCTGCTCATGAGCCCACCTGGAGTGGTGGGTCTGGCTCAACCTCGGCTGCACATTAGAAACAATGGGGAGCTTTAAAAACATGTCCATGCACAAGCTGCACCCCAGACCAATCAGTACATCGGTATGCTTTAAAATTCCAATGATGCTTCCATGTGCAGCCACACTGAGAACCAGTCCCTCTGCCAGAGAAAGGTACTTTTTTTTGTGAGATACTTATCTTTAAGAGTCATGTGACTGATCAGGAAGCAGAGCTAACTCCAGAAGTGGAGTGAGGAACCAGCAACTAGCAAAGAGCTTAAACAAGTAGCTGAATCTCTAAAGACTTTTACCCTGGTGGTTCAGAATGCCTCTAAGGATCCCTGCTTTTCTCTGAGAATCCTCAGAATGAGGCTGCGGGGAAACAGCTACAGCTATTGCCAAACTCCTTTTGCCCTACGTGGTCCAGTCCAAGTGTCCAGGGTGACCTTGATGAAACCTGTCTTATCATCTCCCTACTACCATTACCCAAGAGGTTTAGATGCAGAAGTGGCAGACACTGCGTACAATTCAAAGGCAGCCTCTCCTTGGTGCCTTTGTCACATTTGCTTCTATCTGACAAAGTTCTGCTCTTGCTCTTTTCCTAGCAAATTAAAAGCCCTAGTGCAATGACCCCAAGTTCCACTGAATTAGAAATACCTGAGGAACTTTATAAATACCAGCGTCCCATCCCAGACTCTCTGAACAATGACCGCTGGAACCACTACAATCTAAGGCACATTTTTTTTTGGAGGGGGTGCTTAACCATGTGGGTTTCTATCTTTAGATTCCATTGTCTCTTAAGCAAAACTTGGGTTTATAAATTTGTTTAACCAGTGCCCTAGAGAGGCTGATCAGAAAAATCTCAATAGTAAACACTTACGTGCCAAGAAATGTTCTAAGTGCGTTACATGTAACTAACTCTTTATCCTCACAACGATCTTATGAGGCAGGTACTATCATAATCCATAGTTAATAGATGAAAAAAAGTGAGGCAGAGAGGTTAAATAAGTCACCCCAGGTCGCAAAGCCAGGAGACATTCTTACCACCAAGCGCTGTTGCCTCCAAGTGCACAGACAGCTGGATCTGTTCTAATGACCTAACGTCAGCATCCCTGTACCATCTACAGAGACCTCCCTTAGCACAGAGCTGCTCACACATACAGACATGCATACAAAATCACCAGGTCAGGTGAGGTCTGGGGCTCCACATCTCTAACATGTTCCGAGGTAGGCCACTGCTGCCAGCCTCTGCATCACACACTGAGCAGCCAGGTGTCAGCACTCTCTCCTTCAGACCTTGTCTGTAATTTGACGACGAGATGGCTGTGCCTAATGACTAACAAACGGTCTTCTCACTCTTCTCCTTTTCTCTGTCACACTGCCTTGTGTGGAAACTTTATTCAGCTGGCAGTAGCACTGTGTCCTTTATACTCAGGGTCCCCCCCTGGGCAGGAACATGAAAACTGACAATGCTCAATGCTAGGAACTAAATGCTTCATTCAGCAGCCCATAACTGAACGCCCGAGTCCGAGGCTTCCCTGGGTGTCATGAAAGCAGACTGACGCATCTGTACAGCAGGATTTGATAATAGCACTCACACACGGAGTAACTTGGCCTGGTGCCAAAGGAGCTAGGCCACCAAAATAGTTTCTAAAATAATGTTTTTTTTAAGTCTTATTAAAAGAATTGTCAAGTTGGAGCACAGGAATGCAAAATATGACCCTAGTCAGCGGGCAGTCGATAGCAGAAAGCTGGTGTGTCAGTGTGAGACAAGTTCTACAAGCCCCTAAGAAGATGACCTTCCTTCTCGGATTCGCAGAAGGCTGAGCCGCATCGCACTGGGCACTGCTGAAACGCCTGAGGATACTAAGGCAGAGGCAGATCGGACATGTCTGTGGGGCTAAGCTGCATGGGCTTGCTGGATGGCCTGACAACTCGCAAGCAGCACTGAACGCCAAGCTTGCTGCCTGTTAGCAGAAAGACACCCAAACACTGGCTGCAAAAGACACGCAGAGATGGACTCCAGTCCTTAATACTAACGCACACCATGGTGGCATCAAGTATTACATGCATTCATGTGAGGGTGCTGCTGAGGATGAGGGGTACGGCCACCTTCTAAGCCCTGAGTCTGACAAGGAATGGGAAAGAAATGGGAAAAGCCAATGGCTGATTCAAGCAATGGAGTCAATCTAAGGTGTGGGAGGACCCTGAAATACAGTGGAATGAACCTAAATTGCCCCGCAAACCCTGGCTCCACCCCTCCAATCAGGGTCACGAATCAGAAAAGCTAACCAATAGCCTTTCAGAAGGATCCACATCCAGGACCGGCTATGCTGCTGAGGGAAAAATATCAGTTTTAAGCTACTCAACAGCCTACGAATCGTGGGAGGCTGACCTTGGCTGTGTGGATGCCCATTCCCTGCAGAACCTCCCCTTGTCCCCCAACCAAGGTCAGGTCATGAAGGCTGTGGGAGCCAGCCTGACTCATGAATTGCCTGGACTGATAAGCACACCTGGCCACCCATCCGCTTTGAAGCACATGTGCTTCCACTGGACCTGGATTTATCCTTTTCCAGCAGGGTAAGGATGGTGAGGTGAAGTAGGAGGACGATGGCCACTGCTGTGGACCTGGGAAGGCACTGACCTCAAAGTGAAAGTTAATATGACCCCGAAGGCTCCCTGAAATTCTAAAAAGTAAAAATTAACTACTGCCTCTTCCTTTTATCAGGTTTTTCTGATATAAATAAACCCTATTCAACTGCTGAAATACACCCTGTTCTAGAAGAGGTGTTCACCCAGAAATGATCAAAAGTGCTTGACTGAAGCACATTTTGAATGGACTATAAGACATCACAGCTTCCTTTTACTTAGTACCTCTTTAAATCCAGAAGCAACTAAACACTATAATCTTAAAGAGCACAGGTTTTCTAATGTAACATTCCCAAATTATCGCACCTTAAGAGAGAATTAACATTATACTTCTATTTCTATTTTAATCAGAAGATTAACAAGACTCTTGTCTTTGTTCTAAACTAAAACCAAAAGGCGGGTGGGCACCACTGCCAGGTCTGGGTTCCCCTCCAATGCCAGGTCTGGGAAACTTGTACGCTGATGTGCTTTCTCAAGTCCTGCCTCCACCAACCCATAGTTCCCCTTTCGTTTTTGGCCTGATTCTGGATGCAGGCACCTAGGCAAAGAATTCAACTTTCCAATGCTGAATACACAAGGACAGTGAAGAGCCCCCCTTTCTAAAAAACAGAAGTCAGAAAGAATTTAGGAAGTAAAACTTTTAGGGACTTGCCTCTGTCTCTATTTCTAGAATCAACATTTAATACTAACTACTCTAAACAATAATCCCAGCATTCTATAAGGTGATGATGGCCTGTGTTCCAGAACACTCTCTCAAAGTTCCTCTCCAAGGCAGGTATAACAGAAGTCACTTCCCCTCTGCCTCAGGCATAAAGACCCTGTGCAGGCCTGTCTGTTACAGGATGGGGGAGAGCTCCTGCAGGCTTTCTTTCTCAATCCCTTCCCCTCCACGGTGAAGGCTGCGAGAGCAGGCTAAAGGTTAAGGGTGGCCCCAGGCTTCCCTAAGGAGTCTGGAAAGAGCTGAGGAAAAAGCTGCTCCACTGCCTTGGGAAGGAAATGGAGAAGCTGAGTCACACACTAGCTTTAGGAAGGAGACCCTGTGGAAATTTTGTTTGTGCTGCTATCAGGTGATTATCATTTGCATAAAGCTTCAATGATGTCACATGCCTCTTTTGTTTATAAACAAATTTGTTTTTAAGAATAAAACTCCCAAAGAACTGCTACTTTAATGACTGCAGGAAGTCATTACCTGGAGCCAAAGGCGCTGAGGGCCAGGGCAGAGGAGCCTAGTTAGTGACTCTAAAATCCTGACTTTGAATCATTAGTATAAATCTGCTTTAGGCAGATTCTTACCAGGTTGGAAAGGCAAATGAGACTGGAGAAAAAATGGCCCTGAAGCAGCCTCTGTGGCCCTGAGAATTTCATTTCTAATTCTATTTATATCTCAGGGATAATGGAGGAAGGGGGTAGTTGCTAAAATCTACAGCTATTTTAATTGCTAGATTAACAGGGAGCCGTCAAAGTAATCTTAATGTCTCCAAAAGCTACTTCATTTTCCTTCAAGAAGTATCTGAGAATGAAAAGCAAAAGAAACTCAATGCCATAGGTCCTAGTCACCTACTTCCTCCACCTAAGAAGCCACCTCCAGGAATGAGAAAACACCGGGACACCAAGGCTCTGCAGAAGTTAGGTGACATGAAGATTTACCTCCCCTACCACCTTAAGGGAAGGAAGCCCAGTGACTACTTGTGCAGGGCTTCCTCCCCTAGTGAAGAGGGCACCCAGCACCACACTGCCCACAGGCCTGAGGAGGAAGGTTTGACTGGTTCACTTCTGACATGTCGAGATCATCCAGGCAACACCACAGCTTCCTCAGTAAGCTATAGCAAACCAATGGCACCCACCAGGCAAGGCCTGGCCCATGTCCTCAGGCAGGACATTGGCCTGTGGATGAAAAAGGGGTTCTACGGACAGTAACCTCACAGGGTGACCTGATTATAAATCCTTAACTAGGCAGGTCAAGGTGGGTAGTACTGCCCCAGGCATATAACTTTTCTAATAAAAGGTTTATTTTTACCTTAGTCCATTATTCTTGTGCATCCAGGTTAACACACCTTTGAGATAAGCGTAACCTCCCTCAAGAGAGCACATAATCTCGTTAGCTGTCCTGTAATCCAATCCCCACCTTGCTTTCTCTCACCTTCATGTAATCTTCCTTATGTTCCTTCCTTTAATTTCAAATGCATAAAAGAAACTGCAAAACTGGTACTCTCCAGAGCACTTGAGATCTTACTTTCTAGCACTTGTGTCACCAGTTTTGGCTCAAAGAAACTTATATAAATTCTCTATGTGTTTGGACATTTCTAATGTCGACAGGCCTTAGAGAAGAACCTTCCATTTCTCCTATCTGGCTTCTCTGCCAAACACCAGGAATTGTTGGTGGCAGAGACTGGGAAAGAGAATATCCGACCAAAAAATTGCTTTTCTGCCTTTTGGTCTTTCAGACCAAAAAAGAGCTTTCTACCTTTTGTAAGGAAAGATACTAAAATTTGGCTTAGGCCACTACTGGAGCTTTCAAGGATTTTCAAAAGGAATATACTTTGGCCACATTGGGCTAGTTACCAGGGCCTCTGAAAGCCTTAGCTTTTAGATGTACTACTTTTGGGGGTAGCAGATGAAACTTAGTTTGGGTCCCAAAGATGAGATGCAGCCAGGAACTCACTCTGAGGGAAGAGGGTCTAGCATCTGGCTCAGGGCCTATAAGTATTCAATGAGGAACAGGAAAGGAATGACTAGGGATTTAGACTGAGCCAGTCCATTTTCCTCTTTCCACAAGGGACTAGAGCTGTGCTGTCAACCACACAAAAGAAGGGAATTGTAATGCCCTGCCTAGAGTCAGGCCCCAAGTTATTGCAAAGATTGTTTCTAGGCAGCACAACAGCTAGAACAAGGGGGCAGAGGCTCCAACAGTCAGAACAGGTGGTACCAAGGGAGGCCTAAGTCTGTAGAGAGACCTCAGAGCCCTTTTCTAGACAGCAGCCATTTTAGCTTATTAAAGATCAGGCAGCTACAGACTCTTACAGTGAAACAGAGTTGAATGAGTTTGGAGAGCAAGCAAGCAAGGTGATTAACTGAAGCTGAGCCTCAGCAAGGCCCACAAGCTTCTGGTAGAGAATGACAGGACTTATTTCATGGATCATTTGGAGAAAACCATTTCAGGCTTCAGTTCTACTGATGGCTTATGCCTAAGTGAGTCCTCAACTCTTTTAAAGGATTCCTGGGGGTCTGAAGTTGGATTTCACCTTTTTTTTTTTTTTTAACGCTCCAGGCCTGGTTCTATTTTCTTAACCTAAAGCACATTTCCGTGTACTGCAGCCCTTATTTCCCTTAAGCTTCTGATATCAGGAAACGAAAAAATCCAGATTTTCAGTTAGGACCTCCAAGAGTTTTTGGACTTCCAAAGTTTTCAGTTCTGTATGCAGCCAAGCAGATGGCCAATACCAGTAAACATCTCTCACCTGGACTGTGGGACTGTCTTATCCACGAACAGAAAGATTGCTTTTTCAGAAGGAAGCTGGATCCTTTTCCTGATGATCCACATGAACTGAGCCACAGTGATGTCAGATGGAACGAGATACTTCCGTTTGTCAATATCAACAATCTGAGAGCCTGAGACCTTTTCCACAATCACCTGGGAAAGCAAAGAGAGGTCAGGACTGGATTTCTAATGTGAGGCTCTGGCCCTGCATTGTCAGGGAGCTGATAAGCAGTGTGTGGGTAAGGAGGTGGGTGGAAAACTAAATAACATGAAAAAAAAAAAAAATGTCCCTGACTTAATAAACCACACACTCTGGCGGTTAAGAACTGATATATAAATGTGTTACAGGGAAATGGTAAGTGCTTTTCTGTGGTCAATTATTGTATTTCTCATTCCCAATCTCAGCATGCATAAGAGAAACACAGCCCTTACTACAAAGATTTTCAACATTTTATCTGGGCAGACCTGAGGATATCTAGTGAGGGTTTCATCACCGCCTATTGTTCCAGGACCCCAGAATGGAACTACCCTCACACTACAAGGGAAATAAGATCCCAAAGAACACTGGAAACAAGAATGTATGGACTAAGAGGAATGATTTGGCAATCCCATCCAGCCAAGAACTAAGCTCTTCATTTGGTCTGTTGTTTCTCTCTGAACTAGGTTTTGAATTTGTCCCTCCTGTTCCCTCTTCAAAGAAACTATTCACAAGCAATAAGCTACAATAACAGACCTAGATGCCCTTTAAAAATCAATAAAGATTACAGAAGCCATCTTCCCTACCATGGAAGAAATATAGGATCGTATTTATTATCGATTAAAGAGAAACCAACGGAGAAGGGGTTTTCAGTGGCTTCTCAGAGCTTTTTGGTCAGGAAAGGATAACAGGATGAGTGTGAGGAAAGGGTGCTAGAAGAAGTCAGGTAAAAGTGAAGGCTCAAAGTTAAACATGAGGCTGTCCTGAGACTAAAAGTACCACTTCCAAGACCAAAGTGACAGTCTCCCTCTACCACCATTCCCCAAAGTGGCAGTGACCTGTTGCCCTGTCCTAGAACATCGTTCCTTACATAATTAGCGAGGGAGCCCAGAGGCTGCAGAAAGCTCGCTGGCCTAGATCGGGAGATTCAGCACTGAAACACCCTGAACAGCACCAGTTCGAGCCCCTCACTCCCCGGCCCCGGGAAGGCCCCTAGCCCAACCTGGCCCGTTTGCTACTATAGCCGGGGCTGGAATCTCAACCTGTCAACTGTTGAATGGCCTGGGGCCCTATCTCGGGTCCCAGACGACAGAGCTGTCAGTGAGATGAAGGGGCGGGGAACCCACTCACCGGAACCCGGTCGGGATATTTCGCTCGGATCTTCGCGGATTCCACGCATCTGTGTTCTGCGGGAGAAACACAGCGGGCTGAGGGTCACGCCTGCCCGCCGGCCGGCCGGTTCCCGGGCCCCCAACCCTCCTCCCCCCGCGATCTACGCATGCCCCGGACCCTCGTTCTAGCGTCCCAGCGGCCTCGGTCCTCGGTTCCCTGACTCCCCACAGGGCCTGCCGAAGGCGGCACGACGGTCCGTGGGCAGCAGCCCGGGAGACAAGAACCTCGGCGACCCGAGCCCAAAGCACGGCATCCGCCCCGCTCGGCCCAACCCAGGGCGGCCCTAGTGGGGGAGGGGCCCACCCGCCGCGCTGGCCCGTACGGCCCCGCCAGTGGCCGAGCGCTTACCCAGCGAGTGGTCCTCCTTAAACATCCACTTCATGGCGGCGGCAGGGAAAGGACGCAGCCGGCCCTCGGAGCCGCGGAACTCAGAGAACCAACCAAAACAACAACGACAGCGACGGCGGCGGCGGTGACTACACGACAGGCGGGACTTCCGGCTGCTGGAGCCTAGCAACCGGCCAGGGGCGTGGCTTCCGGCGCCGCTCGCCGGGACGCCGCGCCAAGGGGCGGGGCGCACGCAAAGGGGCGGGGCAGCAGAGGGTCCGCAAGTGACTACGGTGTGAGTTAATGACGTTGGCGATAGGGGTGTAAGTGAGGGATATTGGCGACTGGGGAGGGGATTTGGGGAACTGGTGACAGGAGTAGAGTCTCAGTGAACGTTGGTTACGGGAAGGGGACTTTCAGGGTCTGACTGATAGGATAGGGCTCTTACATAGGGCTGTTCATGAGGGAAATGTGACTGAGGCGTTGGTGACAAGAGATTTTGGAGATATGAATGACAGAAGAAGGGTCCCGTGGTTAGTGATGGCGGGACGTTGACAGTTTGGAGAGTATAGTTTAGAGTGGTAACAGTTTGGGGGCTCTAAACAGGAAGTGTGACTAATTTCAAGGGACTGTGTGAGGAGGCGTACTGATGACTACCCGGGGGTTCAGTATTAAAGGCAGCCATAACAGTTGCTTTGGGCCTAGAAATTGAAACAAATCCAGTTTCCTTCCTTTATTCATGAATAAATATCAAGTAAACATTTAATGTTAAGAAAAGGTATCAGAGAGATGCATCTGAGGACTGAAACATCTCACAAAACACAGAGACCCCTTAACTTTAACTGGCAGGGGAGTTAGAGGTGACTACCAGACTCGGAGAATTCCCTGATAGCTGGTCATGAGATGGGCTTCTTTGGCAGTTAGTGTAGGATTCAATAATCACAGCCTAGGCTCTGTGTATGTGTGTCTGTGTGTGTGTGTCACCTGCTTGGGCCTTCAGGTTCTTCAGTGATGTCATTCCTTTCTTTCTAGCAGAGTCATCAGGGCAGTTTGCTCTGGGTCATCATCTGTTTATGAGCTGGTGAATATGTAACAAGAGTATTCACTTAATTGGGCACATGATCCTTGCCCTGTGCCTGTGATTCTGATGCATCTGAACGGCTTGTATGTTTGAATATTGTCATTCATCATTTCCTAAAGTTGAAATTCCTGATGGATGCTGTGGAATCTAGTTTCATTCTAAAAGTATTTTTGTTATTTTAAGATTGTGTGTTTGAGCAACCCAAACAGTTTTTGTTTGCTTGCTTGTTTTTAATGAAGTGAAAAATCCTTTGAATTTCACACTTAGAAATTACTGTTGTTCTATGTAGGAACACTGTTCTCGGTGTTGGGAAAAAGAGTTGAACGGAAGAGACAACATTTCTGCCCTCATGGAGTTTGCATTCTAGTGGAACAAGACAAAAAAAAATATGTCAAGTAATGATAGGTCCTGTTTAGAAAAATAAAGCAGGATTGATGACTAGAGAGCGATGGTGGAATAAAACACTAATTAGAAAAAGTAGTTGGCATATTCTAGGAATAGGAAGGAACCCCATATAGCTGGAACTGAATAAACAAGGGGGCGTGTGTTAGGAAATTAGATCAAAGAAATCTAGAACAAAACTATGTTGAGCTTCGAATTTCATGTTAAGCAGTGGTGTGACATAACTTCTTAAGTGATCAGGCTAGCTTCAGTATAGACAGAATACAGGGAGTAAAGGATGAAAGCAAGGGGAGCAGTTAAGAGGCTATTGTGATGATCCAGGTGAAAGATGATGTTGGCTTAGATCAAGATAGTGTCTGGAGGTGGTGGAAAGCAGTTGTAGTCTAGATATATTTTGAAGGTAGAGCTGACAAAATTTGCTGATAGATTGGGTAAGAGGTGTGAGGGACAAGTCAAGGTTTTTGTAAGGATGGAATTGCTATTTACTGTAATAGAGTGGATCCAGCTTGGGGTGAGAATCAAGAGTTTGATTTTGGATATATTAAGTATGAGATGCCCGAGAGACATATCCAAGTGAAGATGTAGGATAGGTCAAGGGATCTATGAGTCTCAGATTCAAATGTGAAATATTTAAAGCTATTGAACTGGATAGATCAGCTAGAGAGTGGCAGAAAAAAATGATTTTGCAAATAGAATTAAACACTGAGGAATAAAGATAGTTATTCACTCTCTGATAGTCAGTAAATCAGTGGAGAAGTTAGAAATTGGTCTGAAACTCCCGCTTTCAGAGCAAGTCACTGTGCCCTAGTCCAAGGCATGCATACACTACCATGCATATGGAAGAGCTTAATACAGTCTCAGGGGAAAGATCTACCACCCACCAACCCATAGGCATGATGACACCCGATGATCTCAACGATGTACTCTATGTCTTTCTGTCTTCTATTTTTACCTACTTTTTTGATGTCTCTTTCCAGTTCACTATTCTAATTGGTGTCTCTGATCTGCCTTGATGATATACATCACCTTCTCTATCTATTGGGTCATTATATTTAGCTTACTGAATGTTGTAAGGACATTGGATGTCTTCTTTGTGGGGGTGGTTAGTTGAAGAAGTGAGTCAGGAGGAGAAATAGGATAACAAATATAAGCAATTACACATTAACAGACCCATAAAACGTAGAATTTCAAATGTTGGAGAGGTATTTGAACATGGATACTGAGGGATGGCTAGAGCAATGGGGCAAACACAAAGCCAAGGGAGGTTTATCAAGAAACATTCATAGGAAATGTGAATTTTATGTTTTGGAGAGAAGGGTACATTTTTCAAAGGATAAATTTTCTTTAATGGACAGAAACAAAAGCCAGAGTTAGAAGAGGGAAATGGGAAGCCAAAGTTTCAGTGATATAGATAAATGCCAAGGTGAAGGAAGTATTGGAAAACTTTGAAGCAAACATTCAGGAGTTCTAAACTGATTCAAAAGGCCCTGAATGAGAGCTTCTAGAAAGAACTAGAACACAATATGTGTAGTTTTAAGAGAATGACTCTGTCCTTGCAGGTAACTTGTATGAAACATGAGAAAATTATGAATATGGAAACTGAGAAATCAGTTCTCAGTCATGAATGTGTGAAAATGACACGATTTACAGAGATCTTTAGCATTTTTGAAAAATACAATGTTGGGGGAGGGAAGAGGTAGATAGGGGTAAAAGGGATCAAATATGTGGTGACGGAAGGCTAACTATGGACGGTGAACACACGATGCAACTTACTGGATTTTGTTGGTCAATATCACCCCCCAATAATTTTTCATAATAAAAAAATCTAATGTTCTCTTTCAAAGAATTTAAATAAAACCACAAAGACTAGCTTCCTCAAATCATGGAAGCAAAGAATAAATATTGGTCTCTGTTATTATTAAATACTTTTGCAAAGCTCATGGCATCTCAGAGGCTAGTCGTACACCGAAATTCTTAGCAATCGTCTTTCTCTGTTTCAGCAGTAACTAAGATGACACCAGCTACAGTATGTGTTACCTCTGCTGAAAGAAGAAGTTTTGGAGGCAAACACCTCCTTCCTCAGAGAAGAGCCTCCCTCAGGAGGCGACATTAGGACTACCTATTCTAGAATCTTATTTTAATGGTTATTTAAATAAAGTCATGCTCTTAAAGCATAAATACAATATAATATCAAAATCATAAGATTTAAGAAATACAGTTGTTATATTTAAGAATTGTGTTGCCACCCAGAAAAGCTTTAAAGCAAGAATGAGTAGTATTGGACGAGACATATCAAAAGCATGTTATGGCTGATGACATTAATTGTCATCTTGGACTGTGGAAAGGACCCTGGATAGTTTTCCCATATGAGCTGCTTTGACTTCTCTGTGTTTGTCTGTGTTGTTAGGATTTCGGCTATTCTCTTCACCTAAAAGCCACTTCTAGGTTGCCTTCAAAATAAGTGCATCAGCTACTGGATTTCGCTCCTCATACTATTTCTTGGCACTGCAGTGTGGATCATTCAGGGCCTTTTGATGAAGAATTTGGATGTGAACCATGGTATAAAAAAAAAAAAATCTGACATCTTCAAAATACTGGTTTAGGGCAGGGTGGGGGAAGCATTCAACTAAGTGAAAAGCCAGTGTTATCTTTGGGAAGAACCATTGCTTCCCCTAAAACCGATAGCCAAGCTTGTACCCAATACAGGTGATAAAGTATAGAAGAGAGAGCTGTGCAGTAACTATCCTTTACCCAACGAAGAACCGGGAGATTTCTGTCCTGTTTCCGTGTCTGGGTCATTATATTTAGCTTATTGAATGTTGTAAGGACATTGGATGCCTTCCTTGTGAGGGTGGTTAGTTGAAGAATTGAGTCAGGAGAAGAAATAGGATAACGAATATAAGCAATTACACATTAACAGACCCATAAAACATGCAGAATAAATTTCAAATGTTGGACAGGTGTGTAACATGTGTCCTCCTATGGATTATAGTGAAAGCAACAGAAAATTTGGAAATACAGGAACCTGGGTTTGGCCTTAGCCCAGGACCAGGTCCAAGACCACGGACACATTTATTTTGTGCGTTTTCCTCCAATGTAGGGTGTGCTGGGATTGATTGGACTTAATAACACATAAGCAGGTCTTTAATTTAGTTAACTTTTAAGAAAATATTATTTTACACAAATGTTAACACGGGCGACAGCTACGATTTTGGTGCACAGCAACACTATTTACACTCAGCCTTTGGGAAAATGCTCATAAAGTGTAAAGCGAGGTTGACAGTCCCAGCGGGCACCGCCCCCCATTAACCCCGCCCCCACCAAGGCTCCGCGTCCTTGCTATTGGTTCTTGTCCGTGCGCCGTCGGTTGCCGTGGAGACCAAGGCTATGGCAACCAGGAGAAGCCAAACTTGGTGGTCACTTCCTACTCGAGGGGAGGTCCGGAGCGCGCTGCCACACGCCACGCGCTCATGGCGCTCTACGAGCTCTTCTCTCACCCAGCCGAGCGCGGCTACCGCGCAGGGCTGTGCTCAAAGGCCGCACTGTTCCTGCTGCTGGCCACCGCGCTCACGTACATCCCGCCGCTGCTGGTGGCCTTCCGGAGCCACGGTGAGCCTCTCCCCGGCCGGTGCGCGACACAGTTCCCCGCAGCCCGCTGTGCCCGCGCGGGCCTTCCTGACCCCCACACCGCCCTCCCGCCCTCTTTACCTCAGGGTTTTGGCTGAAGCGGAGCAGCTACGAAGAGCAGCCGACTGTGGCCTTCCAGCACCAAGTGCTGCTCGTGGCCCTGCTGGAACCCGAGCGTGGCGAGTTCCTCGCCTGGAGCACGTTCCCCGCCTTCAACCGGCTGCAAGGGGATCACCTGCGTGTCCCGCTCGTTTCGGTGCGTGGTTCCTGCCCACCGGGACTGGGCGGAGGTGGGGCTGGAGGAAAGGGAGCGAGCGGCCGCGCCCCCGGGGAGCCCAGCTTGGGGCGCGAACCCATGGTCAGTTGTGTGTACACAGGCTCAGTGGCCTGAACATACGTTTAATTTTCTGGGGAGTAAATCTTGTTTCATTCGACTTCTCCAAGCTGTCCACAACCCCAAGAAAGTTAGCCACTGCTGTCAGCTTATGCTTCCTGACTCAGCCCAGAAGCTAGTGGCATTCTCTTTCTGGCTCCCGTCATTTCCGTTGGTCTGGGCTGATAGAAAGGTGGTTGAGAATGTGCCTTTATAAGTCAATGAAGGACGAGCGGTGTTCTTGTTACATACAATCCCTTCGTGTCTCTGCAATTGTTCATGGACATCGTTGGAACGGAAAAGGCAGGTATTTTTATGCAGACTTGACACCTGGAAGCCTAGGTGCTGATTGGTTAAGCAACCTCCCCAGAATGGTCCATTTCCGTCTCCCTGGGCTTGTTTCATTAGATGCTGCTCCATCCTGCAGCTGTCCAGAATGAAAATTAAGCATTTTACTGTCTGTGATTTAGTATTTGGCTCAGAATAAGTGAGAACTTCCTTTACACGCACTCCCTTTCTACTCATTTTTTAAAAAACTTTTTTCTTTAGAAGTATGAAAATTCTGGTTTTCTTCCAAAGTTGAATCTCTAGACAGCTCTGAGATGATTGGCCTACTTTTGGTCAAACTTTTGTAGCTGAAAAAATATATCAGATTTTTTTCCAGCATCCACATGAATAACTACAAACAAAATAGAATTCAGATTACTTTTTTCTGATTACTTTAAATTTTCTTATATTTTTTTCTGATTACAAAAATGCATGCTCATTGTAATATATTAGAGTTACAGGTAAAGGGCTCATTTTGGTACATGTATCAATGCTTTTTTTTTAATCAACGTTATTTTTAAGATCTGCAAGGTATTTCATGATATGGAAAACCTGTAATAGATTTAACCAGTTCCCGTTGGTGGATATTTGATTTTCTTTTGCTTTTTCACTATTAGAGAGAATATTGCAGTGAACAAGATTTTCAATAAATTTTGCTCCTTTAAACATCAAATTGTGAGGAACTGCAATAAAAGCTGTTTATTGAAATTGTATAGGTACATAGAAAATTAAGAAAGCAAATAAAATAATTATTAACCCTAGAGAAATATAAAGTAAGGAAAAAATGAGAAAGGAAAAGCAATCAGAATTGTGAATAGGATTTACATATTCAAATAAGAGTATAACTATTGGGGGGGGGGATGGAAAAACTATAGAGGGGATGGGACATGGTGGAAGGTGGAGGGAAGAAAACTAAATCTCCATCTCTGTTGGGAAGTCAACAGAGAATGCCTGAAATGAGATGAAAATATTTGCCAAAGAGTTGACGTCTGCTGGATTTTGTAACAAACATTGTTGAACTCTTTGATTCTTTCAATGATCAGGACTTTTAAATTGATTTTTAAAGTATAATTGGAATAGGAGACAAATTTATTTCAATAGCTCCTCACTAATCATGACATATTACCCATTTTTATTCTTATTTGAGATTATAATGTCACAGAGTGACTGTGGATAAGAGGCCAGTGTCCAGGTATGCTTGTGTTCCAAGTGCATGTTTCCAAAAGTGGAAACAAAAAATTTTTTATTCCTAACAAGCAAAAACTTAACTTGTTAGTTTTACTTTAGGTTAGCATTCCTTGTCTTCAATTTTGAATAGCAATTTTTTTTCTTTACATTTGTATATTCTTCTCTATCATACTCTTATGGCTATTTGAGACTAAGAAATAATCATGAAAACTTAAAGAAATCATGAAAACGAGGATATAACATTAGGTTTCATTCATTTATTCTTTTCACTTGTTCATTCACACAACTTGTTGACTCCCAGTTGGACTGCTAGTGAACCTCTTATCTCTGTAATCAGAAACTACTCCCTTGAGAGCACTGCCCTTGTTCCCCCTGCTTCTTGTATGTGTTCCAATTTTAAATCTGCAAAGCCAAGACTATCGGGTGTTTTTATGGTGCCTAGAGCTATTAATCCTCTTTAATACTGGGCAATTTTACATTGTAAACTATAAGACCAAAGCTCCTTTTTCTTAGTCTTTTTTTCCTTTCCCTCCATTCTAGGCCAGAGTCTATAAGTAATTTATGACCTTGTCATTTAGTCTTTCTTAGTAAGTTGCTTCCTTCCTGGCTGAGTTCAAGGTTTTCTTATTCTATATGTTATATCTTAACCCTATTGCAACAAAATACTTTTCAAACTCTGAATATAAAGGTAGACTGACTATAGCCCATCCAAGAAACCATCCAAGAAGCCAAGGAAACAGTGGTTTTAGATCAATGTTCAAGCAAATGCTGGAGGTTGCTAATTTGGGAACATGTCTCAGAAGTCAGAAATGGCCTTGCTTCTGCTTTGGTCAGCTCACCTGTGCATCTCTAAAGTCTTCATGTTTTTGATGCTTTAAAAGTCAAGTTTGTTGTTCCTTGTTTCTGAGAAGAAAAAAAACACAGATAGTCCTTTTCCCTCGATGAGCCTGACTTTGCTCTTTAGGGCATCTGTGAACCCAGAGAGTGTCGGGGCTGAAGGCTATAGGAGGATATAGGAAGATGAATGGAAAGTGTATGTGTCTGAGACACCTTTTTTTCACATCTCCAAAATCAGCGTGTCTTCCTATCCATGGTATCTTACAGTGGCTGTTGGCCAGGAGACAGGCTTGACATAGTCCTCATTACCTTACACATGCATAAACATCAAAAGCGCCTGCACTAAAAGTCGCAGAAGGGACATCAGCAACTTGAAAGAAAATCCAGAGATAGTGAAACATTGTTGTTGCTACTGCTGTTTTGTTTTCAGCTTTATTGATGTAAACTTGACAAATAAAATAAGATAGTAAAATATTATTCTAACCCCTAAAGAGCTAAATGCAGAGCGGATAAGGGTAGGTTCAAGAGACATTAAAAAATAGGCTAACTCCACATAATTTTAAAGCATGTTCAAGAGTCCAGACCAATGGATTCTTGTTCCCTTTGTGAATTTAAAAAAAAAAAAAAAAAAAATGCTTTATCATCAATGTGCTTAGTGACACAAAGGACAAAATTGCATAGAAAGGTATGTATATCATTGAGTCAAAAAGCGATTCAAAAGAATCATGATCTAAAGAAGTTTTAGGAATCCCTGGGTCAATCAATTTCACATATATTTTTCTATGTGCATAAGTATGATATCTGATGTAAATAATAAGTCTAAAAACTCATTAAGTATAAAATAAATACTCTAGTGTTTAGAAACATTGTGTCATAGTATAATTGGAAACTTCTCCTTTCTTGTACATAAAATAATGGTGCATTTTATAATTGATGGTATCTTAGATTCCTTGAAATACAGGGAACAAGGATTTGATGAGTCTAGGAGCCATGCAGTAGTGGTCCCTATTTTGCAGGAGACCCAAAGACTGATGCCAAAGATATTTTCAGCATAAAAAGAAAAAAATGGAACACTCGATGACAAATGTGTGGTAAAATGAACACTGATCTAAATTAGGAAAATTATCTTTTAATAAAAGAATATGACTCATCTATGAGCGTGCCACCCTGAACACGCCCAATCTTGTCTGATCTCGGAACTAAGCACGGTCGGGCCTGGTTAGTACTTGGATGGGAGACCACCTAGGAAGATCAAGTGCTGTAGGCATAAAAAAGTATATATATACGACTCAAAAGAATGAAAGGTATATGAAAACAAACCATGAGAAACTGTAGAATCCTTGACGGGGAAAATCTTGCAAGTCAGGGCATTTAGAAAAAAATGGCATTCCTTTAATTTATAGCAACTCTTACTATCAGATTGTGTAGTTTTCAGGTCTCATTGCAGTTCCAAACCCACCCTCCTATCCTTTGCTTTATGATGCTCATGCAGAGATGCTGAAAACCACATTCTCCTTTGCCCACTGGCTTCCTGGTACGTTCTGCCAATAGGAGGCATGATGAGCCTTGTTCTGGGAGTAGGAAAAAACCGGAAACTGCCACCAGTTGCTGCTGCCAGGGTGAAGAACCATTGCTGGGGTGATGCAAACAGGAAGGAGTAAGTTTCCTCCAGGTTACTGATTTCCTCTAGTGGGTTCCTTCTCCGAGCTCTGGAGGTATCAGCGCTAGCTGGGCAGCACTCTCTTCTTAAGGTCTGAATCCCAGTTCCTTGAGGTAGTGCCAGCCTCTTCCCTTCTCCAGTCTTTAGAATGGGAGCTGCTTCCTGCAGTTACCCTCTCTGTCTTATCACGGCATTCCCTTTTAGCCTTGTTAGCCCTCTAATACCTATGTTACTAACTATCCCCTATACTAAATTCCCTCTGTTAAATTATTGTTTCGGTTCTGTTTTCCTTATTGGACCCTGATTGATATAGGTTGATTAAATCCAATAATGCCTGTATTTATCCTATCTAGTAAATTAGTATTGATTTCACATATATCTGTAAAGGATGATCCTCTTTTAACCACCAGGAATTTTTGAGATTAGGGTTCTTGTGGCCTGTTATAGAAAGAACACTGAACCAGGAGTCAGCAAACCTAAGTCCTAGCCCCAATTCTGTCATCGGGTTCCACATCCTCTCTCAGCCTCAATGTAACTATCTATATAAAGAGCATGATAGTACCTACCTCTCTAATTATTATTATAACTACTAATAATATCTCTTTTCTGGGATATGCACGGGGATAAGATGGGACAATCAATGGATATAAAAGTTGGTCCAAATTACACATAAACCTTATAGAAACAAGGTGATAGTGTGATTTATGAATTACCTTAGCCAGACCAACTTGATTTTAGATACTCACCTTGAACTTGTATTAAAGAAGTATTAGCTCTTTTAATGCCTGCCTTTATAGCTGTTGCACATGTGTTAATCTTGAATTAAAAATTGACTTCATCAACAGTCCAAGTGATAGCATAGAAATGTAGCCCACCTTGCCAGCCTTATGGGACTGAGAGTTTAACGCGGAGAGAGGTCATTGTGGGAGATACATCATTTGCATCATCACTTATCCCCAGGGCTCTCTTCATTCACTACCCTCCGTCTCATTCGTCTGCTCAGCTGCACTGGCCTCACTACACTCTCTTAAACACTAACCCACTTTTACTCTGTTAATGTTCACTTTGTTAGCCCGGATCACTCTTCCCTCGGATATTTCCATGCCTCTTCACCTCTTCATTCAGGTTTCCAACAGTCAGGTCTTCCTGAATATTTTCTGTAAAAAGAATTCTACCCTAGTCGTTCTGTAATTTCAGCCTGCTTCATTTTTCTTTGTGGCACTTATCATTACGTAATATTGGTATGTATGTATTTGTTTATTGGGAATGTAAGCTGGCTGGGAATGTAAGCTCCATTAAGGTGGGGACCTTGTCTATTTTGTTTGCCGTTATATTCCCAGCACCTGAAATAGTGCTTGACATATAGTAGGCCCTCAACAAATGCTTGACAGATTAATGAATGAATTTAACAAGTAGACACTAATTACGGTGCCAAATCTCTGTCCTCTGTGAACTTGGAGTAAAAGTGTGTGTACAACGAATATACAGACTTATAGTCATAATTCCGACACTGGCTTTTTGCAAAAAGATTTGTCCTACCTAACATCTTCTTGAGTTGTTTGTTGTTGTTTTGTTTTGTCTGAACATTTTAGCCCTGGAAAGAGAACCAGATTTGAAGTCAAAGATACAGTTTCAAATCCTGTCTTTTTCATTACTAGCTATTCTCAATAAGTCCCATCACTTCCCTGAGCCTTGATTTTCTCATCCATACAATGGGGATAATACTTGTTCTGCCTACCTTAGACTTATTTTAAAGACCAAATGAATTGCATTTCTCTCCCTCCCGCACTGTGTTGGAGTCCGGATTCTTCTGGCAAGTCCCTCCTGACCACTATCCTCTCTTGCAAGTTGAGAACTTTGATCTTTGTCGTCTTGTTCAACCTGAAAGATCCAGAAGGCATGGATCCACTCCAGAGAGTTAACCTGACTTTGTCTTCCAAGTCTTCCCAGATATCAACTGAAGAAAATTCATGGGAAGACAAGGCAGCCTCTTTTCTGTCCTAATCATAATTGCTAATACATAATTGCTTCAGTAACTTGATCATCAAGCCCTGGTAACAGATATGCCTCCCCTGCACCTGCAAAGCTGATGAAACAGGACAGAGAAAATAGTCTTCAACAGAAGAGAGAGGATAGGTTTCTCTATAACAAGGCCTAGGATAAGGACATTATTGTCTAGAAGGAAAGAAACGATTGAAAGTTTCTGAAAACTTAGGTATCTCCATCTCAAACAATCTTATGAGCCTGAAAAAGAACAAAGAATCTTTTCCTCACATAATGGTATCGGTGGAAAGAGAAATGAATCAGTAGATGGAGAATTCAGATAGGAATGTTGATACACCATAGTGCAATCCTTCTGGGAACCTACACTGGGAAAAGATCAGTTGTAGCAAGAAGATCCAGACTCATGCCAGGAATCACATCAGCAGTGATCACGTTTCAGTAACCATCCTTCCTGCTAAACATTTTAGGGATCGCTGCGAGACAAGACTATGCATAGTTAAGACTGGATACCAGGGTTTTGTTCTGTTTTTTTATGAGTTGTAATTTGTCTGTTTCCCTCCTCTGTTTTGCTCTACTTTCATGTCCTAATTTATAACTCTATGTTATAACTCTATCTGTGTATTTTTAATGGCTTACTGATTTTATCTCTTTTTATCATTTTATTGATTGGTACTAAAGGATGCAATAGGCTTTAAAATCCTGACAATGGTAAGATGAAGTCCAACGTTGAGACTCTGAAGCAAAGACATTTGTGGTTAAAGGGTATATAAATAGAGCTTGGTGTTTTTCTGCTGAGTCTGGGGAATGCAGAGATTAGTACTAGTTTCTTTTCTATTTAAAAATGTTGACTCCAGACAAGCGGAAGACAATTCCGATGTGCAAGTTAAATTTTCCATGCAAACACAGGCATGTTTATAAAAATGAAAAAAGAAAGAAAATACCAACAACAAAAACAAAAAAGATCAAATGAGACAACTAAAAAGAAAAATACCATCCAGATGTTTATTGTCGTTATTGCCACTTCAAGTTCCCATTCATTTGGTTCCTGAATATTTGAAAGCGTTAAGTACAAAGTTCAGGGGCCTAGTACATTGTGTCTCTTTTCTCAATATCGATTCACTTATACCTATTTATTTTTCTTTTCCTTTTGATAAGGGAGATAATACCTGTGTGTGGCAGAACAGCGGGTCATTGTGTATGTAAAACAGTGATATGGATTTTTCCTGACTTATTAAGGACCAAGGTCACTGGCCTTCTTTGGGTTTCCTAGACTAGAGAAGAAGACAGGAACCAGGATGGGAAAATGGACATGCTTCATTTTAAACTGGAGCTTCCCCTGCAGTCCACGGAGCATGTTCTTGGCGTGCAGCTCATCTTGACTTTCTCCTACCAATTGCACGTGAGTCAATTCCCGAGGGAAGCCTGTCCTCTCCCTTTTGTCTTTTAATAGAACAGAGCCCTCTCTCTGATTTCTGGGAAAACCCACATTGTAGAAAAAGGCTCTTTTCTAAGATGTAGTTTGGGATTTAACTCTGGCAAATCGAATGTTTTGGGAGCTATGTTAATTCGTATGAGCTATTAACAGCTCAGAGGGTTCTGGACAGAGTGCATCCTGCACAGAGAAGCCAAGTATGTGAAGGACCATTAGGCTTTCACCACATACAGGTGACCCTTAGAACCCAGAGCCCTTCAGGCCTGACCGAAATTGTCATTACCTCTCCCTCTAATGATTTCAGAGGATGTCGACATTCGTGATGCAGAGCATGGCGTTTCTCCAATCCTCCTTCGCTGTTCCAGGGTCCCAGTTATATGTGAATGGAGACCTGAGGCTGCAGCAGAAGCAGCCCCTAAGCTACAGTGGCCTAGACGTTCGATACAACGTAAGGATGCTTCTCCTTGTCCATCTCCTTTGTTTCGTTATGTTACTGTTTATCAGGTCTTTGAAGAGGGAGAAATGGAAGTTGGAACTCCAGTGGGTGGCACAGAAGAGGATTTCCGAGGAATTCGTGCCATAAATTCTTTCAAAAAATGGAGACACATACACCTGTATTTAGACCTAGAAAGAGGGAAAAAATCTTTGTCTTCATCTAATTGTTGATTGCTTTCAAATGCATACACACAACACATGTACATACCACAGTCCAAGAGATTTTTTTCAGTTTGTGTAAAACATTTAAAAAATAAATTAACGACTGATGATTGAACACATAACATCTGCCAGTCCTGAGTCAAGAAGTTTGAATATATCATCTCATGCAATCATCACAGCAAGCTCTGGAGATGCCTACTCTGTCATTTGCCAGCTCTCTAGGTGCTCGTCCTACCATTGTCCCCCTTTCTCTTTCTAGCTACACCGGCCTTGTGCTGTTCTTCAAACCCGAGAAGCAGCTCCTGCCTAGGACTTTGCCCTTGCCTTTCCCTCTGCCAACTGTCCACATGGCTTATTCTGCCTCTCCATTAAGGTCCCTGTTCAAATGTCCTTGAGCCCAGTCCTTCCCTGACACTTGTTTCTAAAACAGAATTCCCCTCTCTCTCTGCCTGTCACCCCTTACCTTTTCTTATTTCACCTGATATATAAAGGTATGTTTTCAGTTTGTTTACTTGCTTTCTCTCTCAGCGGTAAAAGCGCTGACATCTTTATACTTGCACCCCAGTGCCTAAAACAGTGCTTGGCACGTTGTAAGCGCTCAGATTTATACTGAAAGCATAACTCTAGTTTTACACGTGAGGAAACAGACTTACAGGGGTTAATTAATTTTTCCAAAGTCCCACAGCTTGAAAGCAACAGAGCCATGAATTGTCTGTCTTAGGCCAGAACTTATGCATCTGAACTTTGATTACTAAGCTTTATTTTATCACAAGGGAGCCCATGCAAGTCAGGACGAGGGAAAAGGAAAAGGAAAGAGGGATATTACAGACATAAACCAAGACTGTTCCAGACAAACTAGGATTCATGGTCACCCTAGCTATAATCTATATAAGTTGAAAAAAAAGGAGGAAGACTGTAAGATATAAACTTAACATAGCACTTTTTTTTGTGGGGGGGTGGCTTGAAAAAGGTCTTTGCTTGGTTTTTTCTTTAGCTTTATTGAAGTATAATTGATAAATAAAATTGTAAGCTATTTAAAGTATACAACTACTTTTGTACTCTTTTTCTTTTTCTTTTCCTTTCTTTTTTTTTTTTTCTTTTTTTCTTTTTTTGGTGAAGCAACCCTTGGTTGACCTCACGGATTGCAAGGACCTTGTCAATTTACAATCTCTTATTTTTCTTTTTTTATTTTTTATGCCTACGGCACATGGTCTTCCTAGGTGGTCTCCTATCCAAGTACTAACCAGGCCTGACCCTGCTTAGCTTCCAAGGTCAGACCAGATCGGTCTTGTTCAGGGTAGCATGGCCATAGACTTGTACTCTGTTTCTATGAATTTGACTTTGTATTTAGATTCTGCATAGATACCAGGTAGCATTAATCTTTGTCTGATTTATTTCACTTAGCATAATCTCCTCAAGGTTCATCCATGTCGTTGCAAATGGCAGGATTTCCTTCTTGTTTCATGTCTGAATAATAATAATAATTGTGTATATGTGTATATACACACACACAATACATCATCTTTATTCATTCATCCATTGACAGACACTTAGGTGTTTCCATGTCTTGGCTATTGCAAATAATGCTGCAGTGACATGGGAATGCAGATAGCTCTCCAATATCCTATTTTAATTTCCTTTGGATATACACCCAGAAGTGGGATTGCTGGGTCATATGGTCATTCTATTTTTAATTTTATGAGGAACCTCCATACTGTTTTCTGTAGCAGCTTCACTTTAGTGAGCAAGGGTTCTTCTCTTCATATCCTTGCCAGTACTTGTTATCTCTTCTTTTTGGTAATTGCTGCTACATGATATCTCATTGTGGTTTCGACTTGCTTTTCCCTGATGATTAGTGATGTTGAGCACTTTCTCATGAACCTGTTGGCCACCTGTATGTCTTCTTTGGGAAAATGTCTATTCAGTCCCTCTTCCTTTTTTTTTTTTTTTTTTTTACTTTTATTAGCATTTATTTGATGCTAAATCTGCTCCTGGACCATAAGTTTTTGTTTCTCCAGTTTCTTCTGGGGTATCTTTTTCTTCTGTGCAAACTCCTGTTCGGGTTTAGGAACACCTGCTCTTTTTCAGTGAGGATCATCTCAGTGGGGCGGGGAGAGCGCATTTAGGGGCTAACTCGCCATGAGCTCTGTACGTTCTGTGCCGCTTCTTGGGAGCTTTGTTCACCTGGATGTGCTCAATGACCAGAGAGTCTACATCTAAACCCTTAAGTTCAGGATTCCTCTCTGCATTTTTAAGCACATGCAGCAAAAATTCAGCACTCATTTTGCACCGTTGACCCTGTGTCCAGCCCCATTGTTTGACCTGGGCACAGCTACCAACTCCACCATTGTAACGACGGAATGGCACACATTGCCTCTGAAAAGTGACATCCTTCAGATACTTGGTGGCTTTTCAGATATGCATACCCTTGATGGCCAGGGCAGTTTCACAAGTGTTCTTAAAGTGAACATGAAGATCTGAACTTCTTAATTTGCATGATTTTGTGAGGTTTTCTGGGTCAAATGAATAGCGAACCATTTTCGGAGGTTACCTCAGGCCACTAACGCGAAGAGCTCCTCTGCCCATTTTTAATCAGATTTTTTTTTTTTTTGCTATTGAGTTGTGTGAGTTCTTTATGCATTTTGAGTATTAACCTCTTATCAGATATACTATTTGCTAATATTTTCTCCCATTCTGTAGATTGTCTTTTTATTTTGTTAATGGTTTCCTTTGCTGTCCAAAAGCTTTTTAATTTGACAGTCTTATTTATTTTTGCTTTCATTGCTTGTACTTTTGGTGTCAAATCCAAAAAAATTATTGCAAGACTGATGTCAAGAAGCATACTCCTATATTTTCTTCTAGGAGTTTTATAATTTCAGGTCTTAAGTTTAGGTTTTAATCCATTTTGATTTGATTTGTGTATATGGTGTAAGATAGGAGTCCAGTTTCATGCTTTTGTATGTGACTGTCTAGTTTTCCCAGTACCATTTATTGAAGAGACTATCCCTTTCCCATTGTTTTCTTCCCCTTTGTCATAAATTAACTGACTGTATGTTTGTGGGTTTATTTCTAAGCCTTCTGTTCTATTCCATCGATATGTCTGTTTTTATGCCAGTACCACACTGTTTTGATTACTATAGCTTTGTAAATATAGTTTGAAAACAAGAAGTTTGATGTCTTCAGTTTTGTTCTTTCTCAAGACTGCTTTGGGTCTTTGGGGTCTTTTGTGGTTCCATACAAGTTTTAGGATTTTTTTTTTTTATATCTTTGAAAAATGCCATTGAAATTTTGATAAGGATTACACTGAATCTATAGATTTCTTTGGATAGTATGGACATTCTATTTATTTATTTATCTATCTATCTATCTATCTATCTATCTATTTATTTACTTACTTACTTACTTACTTGTCTACCTATTTATTAGTATGGACATTTTAACAACATTAATTCTTTCAACCCATGAGTACAGAATATCTTTCCATTTTCTGTCTTCAATTTCTTTTACCAATGTCGTATAGTTTCCAATATACAAATCTTTCACCTTGTTGACTAAATTTATTCCTAAGTATTTTATATTCTTTTTTTGATTCATTGTAATGGGACTGTTTTCTTAATTTCCTTTTCTGATAATTCATTGTTAGTGTATAGAAATGAAAGTGATTTTTGTATATTGATTTTTTGTCTTGAAACTTTACTGATTCATTTATTAGTTCTAACAGTTTTTTGGTGGACTCTTTAGGATTTTCTTTATATAATATTGTGTCATCTGCTCATAGAGACAATTTTACTTCTTCCTTTCCGGTTCGGATTACTTTTGTTTCTTTTTCTTGCCTGATTTCTCTGGCTAGGACTTCCTGTACTATGTGGAATAAAAGTGGCAAGATGGGCATTCTTGTCTTGTTCCTGATCTTAAAGGAAAAACTTTCAGCTTTTCACCTTTGAGTATGATATTAGCTGTGGGCTTGTCATATATGTCCTTTATTATCTTGAGGTACATTCCCTCTATACCTACCCTGTTGAGAGTTTTTATTATGATTGGATGTCGAATTTTGTCAATGCTTTTTCTGCATCTACTGAGGTGATTTTTATCCTTCATTTTGTTAATGTGGTGTATCATCAATTTGTGGATGTTGAACCATCCTTACATCCTTGGAATAAATCCCACCTGATCGTGGCGTCTGATCTTTTTAATGTACTGTTTAATTTGGTTTGCTAATATTTTGGTGAGGATTTTTACATCCATGTTCAATAGAGATATTGGCCTGTGCTTTTCTTGTAGTATCTTTTCTCACTTTGTTCATGCACTATTCTCCTGACCTCAGTGAGCATCTTTGTGACTGATATTTTGAACTCTCTGTCAGGTAAATCACTTATCTCCATTTTATTAAGGTCTGTTTCTTGAGTTTTTTCTTGTTCTTTTGTTTGGAACCTATTCCTCTATTTCTTCATTTTCCTTGATTCTGTTTTAGTTTCTGTGGATTAGATAAAACAGACCCATTTCCCAGGCTTGATGGAGTGGTCTCATGTAGAAGATGAATTTTATCAATCAGCCCAGCCTGATGAGCTAACCTTTGTCATTGTCCAAGCCACCTTTTTTGTTTGTAGTGGTTCCCAGTAGTTGTGTCTACCAAGATCCATTTCAATGTGGGACATGTGGATATTTTTTCATTTGCCCAATGTGTAGAAGTCACTCAACTAGTTTCTGGATTTCTTTCAGAGGGAATTGCTCCATGTGTAGCTGTAGATGCAGTGTGTCAGTGGGAGGAAGTGCATTTAGGAAGTTAATTTGTTGCCATCTTGGAGCAGAACCCTTTTTTTCCCCCCTTTTGTAATGCCTCCTCTATGCTCTCAGCTTCCTGAGTCCAGTCTTCACCTAGAACCCCATAGCACCTTTTATTTTAATATCAATGGGGATATTAGAGAGCAGGAAGTCATTTCCTTTAGAGGATTACATGCTTATTATTTGCACTTTATCCTATTTCCATCTCTACATTTAAAAGATAAATTAGAGATCATCCAGAGAAGAGCAAGGAAAAGACAGAGGAGTTGAAAATATGGTCTAATTTTTAGAAGTTAAAGAAATTATTTCTCTGATTAGAATAGAGAGAGAGGAATTTTATAAATAGCTTGAAAACCTGTAAAAGGTGGATATTAACCCCTTCTTTCCATTCCTGCAAGGAGAAAAACTGAGAGGAGATGACTTAAATTGTTGCCAGGAAGTTCGTTCATCCTTGAAGAAAAGATTATTGATACTGGAATAAGCCACCAAGAATGAGAGGGTGGTCTCTGAGATCAGCATGGGTGGGCAGGAAAGTAGAAAGACGGGAGAAGAAGCTACTCAGATGCTCACATCCCATCCTCTTGCTGTATCTCAGGTGTCTGTAATTAATGGGACCAGCCCTTTTGCCTGTGACTATGACCTCACCCGCATTGTTGCTGCCTATCAGGAAAGGAATGGTGAGTCGCCAGTAGATTTCATTCAGATGTCTCCTAAGGACTTTCCAGGTTAGTAGGGGCTTGGGAGAGAAACAGAACTGGACCCTTTATCATGGTGAAAATGTCAAAAACAGTGAATGCTCAGTGATGTAAGTCAAACAGGCTGCCCAGAATTTGTCCATTTTCTCCTGATCTAAAGACCCATACTCTACCCACCCCGCAACTCCTGTGGCCCAGCAGCTTCGTGCCAATTACTTGCCATATTTATCCCATCACTGGCTTGATCGTTTTCCTTTTTTTAAAATATAAACTTAATTGACTTGCTCCCTTTACCACACTTATAAAAGAAGCCAAAGACAAATTATTATTTGTGGTTTTCAGGTGGAAATAGGGAATGTGAGTGACTCACCCCTTATCAGCAATCTAATTAGGAGAATAGCAAGGTTCTGGCTGGAAGGCAGTGTGTCTTACAGAGGCAGGACTCTCAGGCCATCCATGTGCTTGAGTCACACATTTGGCTGGTAGGTGGTCTGAGGTTTTCTCTAAAGGCACCTAAAGTATTACTGGGCAACCAGACATGATGGATACGTACACAGACATTTAACAAGTAGGGGGGATTGCGATTCCAGTATTTCTTTCTAATTTTATGTAATACACTAATACACCAAAAATAACAGAATTTTAAAACTAAAAAACATTATAGCTAAACTAAAAAACTATAAATCAACTTTTCTTTATTCTTTCCAGTTTTTGTCTAGATGCGGGGGTTTTTTTGTTTTGTTTTGTTTTGTTTTTGTTTTTAAATACAGCTGCTATCATAGTTTAGAGACATTTTTGGATCTAATTTATTTTTTATTTACTTTGTAAGATAAATATTTTCCCATGCTGCTACCAAGTTTTAACTGTTATTATTTTTAGTGGTAGCATAGTATTCCTTTGCTTAGCCACTCAGCAGCTATAGAACATATAGACTGTTTCCATATCTTTTTTAACATAACAGCTTTGACAAGTATTTTAACAAATAATGTGTGAGCAACTTTGCACATTCAATTTCATTTTCCTTTTGAATCATTTGAGTTGAATTCTGAAGTGCAGAATTTGCCTGAGAGATCAAGATTATTTTCATAGCCTTCAATATTGTATTGCCAAAGAGAGCATTCATGGATTAACTACTGATTATATTGCAGTAACCACCATCCTGACTGACCCCCACCCCATCTGGCTGGTGGGAAGGGCTGCCGAAGCTCCATTTGTGATTAATGCTGTCATCCGATACCCCGTGGAAGTCATTTCATATCCTTTCTATTAAGGAGCCAAAAGTAGCTCAGTTTCGAAAAAGAAAAGGATTCCTCAGTTGTCCCAAGAAGGAACAGATGTGGGAAGCCGTAGACTGGAAATTGCTACAGCATTGTAGCCCCACACAAAGGACTCTTTCTGCTGTTCATACAGGGGAAAAAAATTATTCATTTCCTGCTCCTGTTTCTTTCTGAGCAATTCTTCTAGGTCAAAATCATCCATATTTATGTCTTAATAATCTTTTATTATCCATTTTAACTTAAGGGTATTTGAAACATTTTTGCCATATCCTGTCTAAACTTTGGTTTAACATTAACTTAGAAAATGTCATCTGAGACTCCTTAACTGTACGTACTTATCTACCAGGATTCTGGGAAATGATAAAGTTTGCCTGGATCCAGTATGTCAGTATCCTCCTTGTCTTCCTCTGGGTGTTTGAAAGAATCAAAAGATTTGTGTTTCAAAATCAGGTGGTCACCACAATCCCTGCAACAGCAATGCCCCAGGGAGAACTGTATAAGGAGCACATATCTTAAGAAGACCATTTCTGAAAACTCTAAGCAGGACTCTGGCTACCTCACTGTTGACTTCTGAGAACTGCCATCCACAACATTTCTGAAAAGAGCTCACGGACACGCGTCAGCAGCTTTGGTGCTCTTTCTATCACAGACAAAGAACAATTCTAATTTTTCTCCACACAAATTCCATATCTTCTAAGTGCCTTCCAGAATCATCAGAGACTCGTTTGTGGAAAGAGCTGAAGGTTCCTGAAGGCTATCATTTGCCCCACTCCATTTTTGTTTGTTTGTTTGTTTGTTTGCTTTTTCTTTGCCTCAGACTTGAATTTCAGGAGAAAACTACACAGTCAGTTTAGAAACGTTGGAAAGAGTCCCATCTCTGGTCAAGCAAAGACTTTTCCTCTCATGAACTGAGAAACATGCTCTGCATTTCTTCCTCGTATTGTAAACCACTTTTTACTCTTTTCAGGGCTCTCTTGTGACATATGCAAATCACTAGTACTTTCCACTCCTGGGCATCTAAATTTCCCATTCAGAACTCTGATTTCCAGAACTGAGAGGCCTTTTCCTGGAGAATTGGGGAGAGGGGGTAAGAGAGCACAAATGTTCAAGAACTGTGTGTGACACACATGAGTGTGAGCAACTTGAGGACACTAGGACCGTCCACCTGCTCTCTCAGTTTAACAGACATCGTCTGTCATCAGCTCAGCTGAACAGCCCTTTATCTCGCCCTGCTGTGGCTGGCTCTTTGCCCTGTCTTTTGCCCTCTGTCTTTGCCCCTGCAGTAGCAGACTGAAATCAGAAATGTTCATTCACAATCCCCTCAGCAGCCGAGGGGGAAGTAAGGATTGTAACAACAGGTTTTCTCTGGCCCTCGCCCAACAGCCTGGACACTTGCCACTCCTCCTTGACAACCCTCCCCCTTCCTGGAAAGGACGTGGGTGACAAGAGGACCTGTTCGTATTGGCCCCCACTGAAAACCACACAGTTTATTTGGAGGACTAGTGGAAAGCCCAGCTACTTGTATTTCTCTTGACTAAGGAACGGGGTGTGCATCAGAGCAGGCAGTTTTGGAAAGGACATACAAGGAGCAGTGAGGGGGGAGAAAGAGGATGCTAGCCTGGGCAGCCCAGTCCAGCCTGGCCATTAGCAGAATGACAAGCAGTCCAGCCAGATTACCCTCATGACTGAGTGTCTGCAGGAGAAGAGTACCGGAGCAGGTCTCTGATGCACACAGAAGACTGATTCTCCGTTCTCATCCTGAGGAAACATGCAGTTTCCTCAAAGGACAGATGGATCTGCTTTATGATCTGGCGATGCCATTGGCACTGGAAGGACATGTCCGCTGTGATCCCTGCTTCATGTCCATTCACAAACACACTCCTCAGGGTGTGTCTCAGTTTACCTTGGAGATTCGGTTCTTATTTCCAAAGTACCTTTTCATTCAGGCTGACCAAAATAAGAGTTTTGGAAACAAAGCTGTTTTTGAAGTATTCAATCACACAAATATCCTAACACTGACTCCTCTGATTTTTCTCTTAAAATTTAGGGCCGTTTGTACGCCTAAATTTTTTTTTGAGATTTATATGAAATATGGTTGCTGAATTTTCTGAATTACAAAAAAGTAATGAGATAGGCACAGACCACTAAAGGTGTGTATAAACATTGCACTTTATTAAATTATTTTAATGCAAAACTTATATAAAGAACCATGATGTTTTGTAACTTCTTAATTAAAATGTTCAAAATGGAGGCTGCATGTGGCTTTTTAGAGGAGGAGGATTTGGAAAGGCGAAGGATGGGGAGGGCAGAGGTGGCACACGCTCCTCTCAGTTACTCACCAGCAACCTTGCTTTGCCAGGACTCTGCCCAAAGACCTTGGAGCTTTTGTTAGCTCTTTGGCAAAAGTCCCCTGGGCCAGCCCCAGTAAATGTGAGTTTTTGGTGGAATCCACATGGCATGTGGAAACCACAGGCTGGAAAATTACAACTGTGTCTGGTGGATATCATATTATTTACAGATCAGATGTTGGTAGCTTCTGAACCTGAATCACACAGTATAGTTGCAAGGGGAAAAAAATGCAAGAAATATACAGGATTTTGTCAACTGAGCTATAACGAATGGCTAAGTCAGGATTTGAGACAATTGCTCAGTATTTGAGGGGTATCCCTAATTTTGCCAAATGATTATCCAGTTTTTGTTTGAATCGGGCAAGGCTCTTAAGCCCCACTTAGGTTCCATCGTCTAAGGTTAACAAAGCCATTCTCTCTCCTCCCCTTTCTTTCTCTTCATGTTCATGCTTTTTTAAAGAAATGTCTTTCCCACCAGAGAAAATGTATAATTACAGAAACCTAAGAAAATAAATGTCTGTAACTCCACTACCCAGAAGTTACCGCTGTTGGTCTTCTGGAACACATCTTTAATCTTTCGTATTGTTTCTTTCTATCTTTCTTTTTCCTTCTTTCTTCCTTTTCCTTTACCTTTTCCTTTCCTTTCCTTTTTCTTTCTTCCCTGTCATAAGCAACGCTTCTGTGAACCTTGTGCATAAATCTTTGTTGCTGGTTTACTGCCTTAAGATAGATCCTAGAAAGGAATTGCTAATTCAAAAAGCTTAAGACCTTTCTTAAAGATTTTAATTCATCTTGCCAAACCGCTTTCTGGAAAGAATGTACTAATCTATACTCCAGCAGCAGAGACTTATTTTAGATCCCACTACCACCCTGGATTACAAGAGGTCAGAATTCTCTGTTTTTCAGATGCCTGGACTCTGTTGTTATCTGCGGGGGAGGAAATCTGCTTTATTTGTTGAAACGTACCCTGTATTTATCCAGACCAGCTATGGAGCCTGCACCTCTGGGTTAAGATTAGATCAGGAAGGGGACTAGAGGAAGGGACAGACAGCCAGCTGTGTACCTAGCTCCTGAGGGCTGCTTTGTGTCTCGGCCCCTCGCATCTAGGCTACTGCACAGGAAGGCCGCGCAGGTCCGCCTGGCATCAAGGTGCCTTGAACTTGGCTTAGGGCTGAGGCTGGCGGCTTGGGGAGCTGGTTAGGATTCGCTGCGGGGTTGCCACCAAGAGTGAAGAGGGGCATGGTTAAGATTCGATTTTCTTCACAAGGGCCTTTTGTGCTCCCAGGAGCCTCCCTCCTCGGGATTGGAGGAGACACTGTTTTGGTCAATTAGTGAGATGAGAGGTGATTGTCAGCGCCCTTTGACCTCCGCGTCCAAACTGCGCCTCCTGCAGCCCCCAGATCCCACCTGTGCGCCCCTTATCCCGGGCCCTCTAGCTCCCGCCCCTGGGCAGCTGCCCCTCCCCCGAGGCGTGGCCCCTCGGTCCCTGGCCGGGGGGTGGTGGGTAGCGGGAGCCCGGGGCCAACCGGCTCCTTCCTTCCTTCCCTCCCTCCCTGGCTCCCGCCCGCCGGCTCCGGGACCGCAGCCACGTCTGAAAGCTCCTCATTGTGTGCGCTCCGCTCTAGGCGGGCAGCGCCAAGCAGCGCGCGGACAGCCGGCGGCCGCGCAGGTAGCGCAGCGCCACGGGGCTGGCCCGGGTGGGAGCCCCGGGTCAGGAGGAATCTGGTCTTTGTCCTAGTCCCAGGACTGCCGCCCCCGCCCACACACACACACACACACACTACCACCACCAACAGCAACATCCCATTCTTACGATGCCTCTCTTTTTCCCGAGGACTCCTGCCCTGTGTCCAGGTTCCCTCCGCCTTGGGTCCCCAGGTGCCTCCAATATCTTGGTATTTGTAGAGCCCCATCCCTGGTGTCGCCGGGTGCTCCTTAACAGCTGTGAGACTCTACGGAACAAATCCTCGCCTGCGGACTCCCAGGGAAGAGACAGCAGGCGGTGGAGTGGGCGTTGGAAGAGACGACGAGAAGAAGCCTTTGCGGAGCCTCAGGAGAGAGGCGCTGGCCACCTTGCGGCGCCAGTCTGCGGAGGACCGCAAGCCTCGGGGTATGTGGATTCGTCTCCTCTCTGCGCGGATGCCCCCACCCTGGGCTGGCTTGGAGCTGAGCTAGTGGCTCAGTTGCAGGGCGGGGGGCGGTGGCAATTCATCTTGCAGCCGAAGGGGTCGGGTTGGAGGGGAAGAGCTGAGGGCGGTGGTCCTATCAGAACTTGGAAACGGCTTGGCCTCCCCAGGCGCTGGTTTGAAAGTGTCTTCCTGGGGCTTCAGCTGCTTGCGAGGTCACTGCAGGGGATCCCTTATATCTTGAAACTTGAGTTTCAAAGATTATGAACTCTTGAGGAAAAGTAGCCCGATGAGTGAATTTGGAACCAGATTCAGCTGATTTGAGTCTGGCGGCCCCTGCTTCTAGCTGTTGGATCTTGAGCAACAATAGAGATCTCTCTTGGCCTCAGCCTAGGTGCCCCACAAATGTTAACTCTCTTTCTTCTTCCCCGTTGTACCGGAGGCATGAGGGTGGGAAAACAGGCCTAAAGAGCAGAAAGGACATGGCTGCGGGGAAACCATGTGAGTGAGCCAAGTGCCAGAGCTAATAAGAACAGTGGGCAGCGCAGTGAGCGCCGGCTGTGCTAAGGGTTAGGATGCTCCATTCACTCCTCTTCAACACTGTGTGTTGGGTGCTGTTATAACCTCTTTACAGAGGCGTCAACTGAAGCACAGAGAGGTCAGGAGTGACTTTCTCAAAGTCGCACACCTCCCTGGTCAGTATTTGAACCCAGTCTAGCTTCAGAAGCCATTGCTCAATGTCTTTTATTGTTCTGCCCCTACCTGGTGTGCCACATTCTGTTGCCAGGTTGCCAGGTTGTAAGAGTCACCTGAACCTGGTTAAGCTATTGCCCTTGAGTTTTCTTTATGAAATCCAAGGATTCCCTTGGATTCATAGAACATAGTTGTAATGCAAGATTTGAAACATTCCTGAACAAATACTTTAAAGTTGACTATGTGCCAGACATTGTTCTAAGTGCTTTATAAATATTTGCTCATTTAATCAACCTTGTATCCCCAGGTTCCTTTTTTATAAATATTTACTCATTTAATAATATAATACATTCCTTGGATGAGAGTATTTCCCTTATTTCATAGATTAAGGAAAAAAGGCACAGAGAGATTAAGTAACTTGCCCAAGATTACACAGTGAATGATCGAGAGGAGGTCACACTGTTAGCCACTGTGCTACCCCTGCTCCCTCTAATGAGACAGACAGGATCCCGCTTCTAGTCTAGTAAGGAGGCAGCTACAGAAATGCATGAACAATTCTGGGTAACAGTAATAGCATTAACAGTGATTTCTCAATATCACCTAATACTCAGTTCATATTAAAATTTCCCCAATTACGTCAAAGATATCTTCTTTCAGTTGGTTTGTTCAGATCAGAATCCAAACAAGGTCCACCAGCTGCACTTGATTTTATGTTATTGACGTGTAAACTTTTTATAAATTGATTGATTTTTGTAAACTTTTTATAAATTGATTGATTTTTAAAAATCAATCAATTTATAAAAAGTTTACAAAAATAAACATTCCAGATTATCTCTGTAATAAAAGGGCTCACTCAATACAGGGAGGAACACAGGAGAGCATGCTAGGTATGTAGTCCCTACCCCCATACTATGTGTATGTTACCACTACAGGGAAGTGGAGGGAGCCCCCAGACTTTAGGGCTCTCCGGCTGTCAAATTCTATGATTTAGACCAAATTAGGTGCTGGGCAAAGTGCACTTTGAGGATCCCCAAAGCTCAGAGCCAGGGAAAGGGGTTTATGTGAAATCTGCTCATCTGCTCTGAAGTGGCCCCAGGGTGGCTCTGAGCCAGAAAGACTTGAGGCTCTTTTCCTAGACTAATTCGATTTCATTTCCTGATAGATTCTTGCAGGCAAATTTGTTTCCTCCAGCAGCATCTGGGCTGTGTGACTCCAGCCTCCCTGCCTCTGGCTGATGCCACAAAGTTGCTCATAGGGCCGGCAGAGAGACAGCAGATGTGGCTAGGGCTTGTGGCGAGGTGCAAGTGCTGCCACAGCCCAGCCTAGCTCACAGGACTGAGGGTGGGCGTAGGGGTGTAGGTAATTCTCCATTCCATGCCCGTCTTTGGCCAACTGGCTACCCCGTCAGCTAGGAGATGGATTTGCAGTCACCTCTCTCTCTGCAGTGAAAGCTGGAGCAGGCAAACTCTACCCATGCCTCTTTTAACCAACTAAAGAGAACTCATTTTATGCTTACCAAAGTAATAAAAGACTATTGTAGGCTATCTGAAAAATGCAACAAAGCACTAACAAGAAAAATAAAACCTGTAATCTGACTATAGAAAATTAACCACTGATATTCAGCATGCATCCTTTTAGATTTCCGTCTCTACATATTTGTGTATTTTTTTTTGTCATAGCTTTATTGAGATATACTTCATTTGCCCAGATCACCATCTGGTCCCTAGACCAACCCATGGGTGTGTCTTTAACATTCCCAACTAGATTGCCAGCTCCACCTTTATAAGGACCCTGGACTTTATAAGGACATTGAAACTCCTGGACTGAGCTGCTGCTTTTTTATCATTTCTCTAGTTCCTGTCTTTTATCCGTCATTCGTCTTTTTGTTCTTTATTTCCTCAGTTTTATCTTTTGACCCTTCTATTAAATCAGTTTTAATCTCTAATATGATGTAACTCTGATGTAAACAAAAGCTTATGCAAGAAAGGAAATGTACTCCTATTTTGTACTTCATAAATTATGTGCTTCAGCTGTGAGCTGTTTTATAAAGTCATATAATATAAATTTTAAATATTGACTTAACCAAAACTTATCCTAGGAGGCTGGGGGGAGAATAAGAGTGTGTATGTATCTTTCTGGGTGTGTGAGTGTGTGTACATATGTAGAGAAGAGAAATCCTTATCTTTCATTACCAGTCATTATGAAATGCCACGAATTGTAACAGTTATAATTTATGCTTTTTTTAAAAAAAGAAGAAACAGCTGACAAAGTTGAAAGCCTCTTGTAAGTAGGATTCTGGAGCAAGAGAATGACATAACTATTTGACTTTTGAAATCATGTACATTTAAAAGTATTTTAATGTGGTTATTTAAAAATAGGTAGTATGTTCATATGGCTCAAGATTCAGAAGGGATATAAAAGGATTAATTGTGAAACCTCTTTCTCGGCTTCCATCCCCCTCTCAGGACCGGTATAGTCACCCTCTTGTATAAACTCCAGGGATACCTTATGCTTATTCAAGCTATGTGGATTATTTCGACAAAAATAAATTTTCAAAGGACTTTCTGACAGAACAGTTTCAGTGACTTGAGAAAGACTACTGTGGAAGGCGATCGTGGGTATCGGGGTAGAAGAGGGAACTTTCTATTCCTTCTATGGCTTCTTGTAGTTTACTCTCACCCCCTCCTCCCCTGAAATCTATGATTATTTTTATCATCATTATCTTCACCATCAAAGAAGGCAGAAGTTGGAGGCAAGGTTGCCTCTGGGGAGGGCTTGGGAGAGGCACAGAGGACAGAGAATGTCACTTCCTTTTGACAGAGTGGCCCTTGTACTCCCGATGTGGAGCTGTGTCTGCCAGAGGGTGGGACCCTTTTTCTAATTTTCACAAACAAAATATGAGCCCTCGATGCCCTCATCTGTATATTTGTTATTTTGTGCCACTTCTATGTGTTACTTTTTCCCGAAATTGAATATATAATAAATATATGCCCCCCCCCCCAAAATAAAAGACGTTAAAAAGGAAAGAATTCATAGGGGCGGGGGATAGGCCTTCCATGATGGGGAACTTAATGGGACCCACCCCAGAGCCCTGCACTGGGAGTCTGGAACTTGCATGTAAACCTCTGCCCTGTGCTTTACTAGCTGAGTATTCATGTGTCTGAGCCCCTTTGGCTCAATTAATTTCAGGGATAATTTCTACCTCCTAGGGACTTGAGGAGGATAAAGTACATATCACAGTGGTTGTCTGACATGTTCTTCCTAGCTTTGAACCCACAATTGGTAGGCGGCTGAACATAAGGCTCCTTATGGGGACCTGACTTCTCTGGACCCTCTGCATGGCATAGGATGTTCTGACTCCCCTCCTTAGTTCTTGAGTTCCAAAAACAGTGTCAGATAGCAGGTCCCGTATTGTGTGAATCACTTAAAAATACCTCTGGCTTCCCTGGAGTACAGGTAACAAATACCTTGGCCTATGGTAGAGATTCCCCCGCCCCCCACCCCCCACCCTGGGAGGGCTGGCCTAGCCAAAGCATCTGTGTTTAAGGCAAAGCATTAGGATCCTACACTCTGCAGGAATCTCCCAGGGATTGGAGAAGCCAGAAGCCTGCGATCAGAAAGTGCTAGGAACTTAGCAATGGAAATTTGATGGAGGTGGGAGGGGTGTCCCAGCTTCCTGCTGTCTCTCCAAGCCTTGGGTCCTTCACCTAAAAAACTGGGATCAGAATGCCCACCTCAGGGGACATTGAGTTAAATTGTAGAGCGGATATGGAGCATCTAGCCCTTGAGGTGATTTATGTCAGCCCGCAGGAGTTATGAGTTCCCTTCCTCCTGTCCCCTGTTCTCAGGGAGGAACACCTGGAGTAGAGAAAACAAGTGCAGAGCAGATGGGTGGCTACTCTCCTTATCTTCTAGGTTTTCCAGGAGTGAGAGAGGGAGCCAGGTTGCAGTGGGATTCAGGTGACAGCTGTTGGGTGCCCTCCACCTGTTCCTGCAGCCTCCTGATAAGGGGAAGGAGCAGAGATGGGATCGGCTCACAATCCACACCCTGGATTCTCAGAGATGACATGGACAAGGAGGAAGTTATTAGGGAGCAAATGCTGTGAAAGCAAGGAGGAACCTTCCAGTCCTCTTCCATCCAAAGCAGCTCATCTTTGAGATCCTTGTAGAAGCAACAGGTGCAAAAAGGAGAAAACTCAGGGACCTTGGGGTGTGGGAGGCTGTAGGGAGCTAAAGCTCCCAAAATTCAAAGGAGTGCATGGATTATCTCGGGAGGCCTGCTTGCATATAAAAGGGAAAAGGCTGGTTCTGAGGAATTCCAGGAGGAAGAAGAGATTAAGATTAGAAACAGGAGTTAGGAAGGGAGTGTCGAAGGGGGAGTGTCGATTGTACCATGATCTTCAAGATGTTACTTTAACTACGTTATCTTGGGATACACAGAGGAACAGATTATGAGCCTAAGAAATAAACAGGAAGAGACAGTTGTGAGATCTGTTCTCCCTCCTGCACCCTGTCTGTCTTCTCGTTTTTCTCAGTCCCCGCTCCCCCATTCAGGGACCTGGTTTGACTCGGTCGTCTGGTTTCCGACAAGTGGCACCCGAACAGGGACCTGAAAACGGGGGAAAATAGCAAGGACCCACCGCAAGACGAGTGCACTCGAGGTTGGCCAAAGAAGCCGTGGGCGGTGAAGGTGAGTACGCAGGAGTTTTTGTAAATATAGAAACTG